TTTTACCCACTCATTGATTCGCTTATTCGCGTTCGGTTCCACTGTTCGCCGCGGTCCGTTCTTATACCAAAATTACTACTCTTCAAGAACGCGTAACAAAGACGCCGTCAAGTGTGTCCTTGACGTTTGTTGGTAAGAAAACATTGGCGTTCAGCGATCATGTTTAACACACGATTGCTTATTCCTAGTCTTCGTGGTTCAAAGTCCTCCGTGCCATTACGAAGCGTAGACAGCTGCCGAGGCCTGGTCCTTTGGACAATCCGGCTGGTAGCCCGGCGCCTTCCAGAACTCTGTCATAAATGACGGCACATGCTGCGTATCCACCAATATACGAAAGGGGGCCGCGAAGAGTCCCTCCCTCACCAAAGGTGGATATTGAAAGGGGGTTGAGGATTTTTTGCACGGTAATCCATTGGTGCAACATGCAACATGCAGCATGCTATCCTTCCTTGACGTCCATTTCCAAACTTCCACAGCGAGCCAGGTGAGCTCGATGGGGGCTACTCACCAGATGGACGACATACACCCTGCCATCGATCTACTGTGTCTCTCTGGACGGCCCAGAATTTCTCGGGGTATGCTAGTTGCAGCGTCCAAATACAGTAATCAGCGGGTCATCACGAGCATCCAAGACCAAGCTTGGAGTACCGGGCAAGGCATGACCTTCTGGGCTTGGTCCATGAGAAAATTTTTGCCTCCAAGTCAACGAGAACGCCCGGGGCATCGCGAGAGTGAAGCATGACGGGGTCCATGGACACTCGCTAATCACATACAGGATGCAAACTTCGTGCTTGTGATCCCTCTCCGATTTGGCGTTCCGCCCCTTTTCGGCTACCACCCACACAATCACTTTTGCCAAGACGCTGACCAACCCGAGGATGCTGTGGCCAGCCCTCTTATCTTTAGTGCAAGCCACATATCACCAGTTTAGCTACGAACAGAGGGTTTTGTGACGGCGAAAGAGGTCTTTCCGCTCCCAAGGCGGTGTATACACACTCGTGGTTTCAGCGGCTGGGCTCTTGCGGTCTTGTTCACATCAGAGACGCTGCTCAGACGTTCTACTGGAGCCCTCTACATTTCCCGCACTTCTGAGCCTTGGTCTTGTGGATTTGGGTGCTGGATGTAACCATTGTTTTGACTTTAAGGATCCCGTGGACCGTCGGAGCTGCTTCGGAGCCACTTGGTAGGAAGGAAAGGGAACCGCACTGGTGGTAATTGCAAGTTTCGGAAGTGAAAGTATGGTTCCGAGAAACCATTGCTGATTTCTGACGTGTAAGATTCCGTGTGTTAATTGTAATGAGCCTTCGCCGTTGTGTTATTGAAGTAATTCCCCTCCGCGGGCGATCGGCGATATAACAATCTCCTCATCAGACTGTCTATGGACGGTTCCTCCCCCTGAAGTAAGCCATTCTCTAGCTATGAACTACGAAAGCCGGCCGCTCCTTGGTCGTTTTTACCATTCCGTTTGCCCCATACTAGCAGCAAACCCTTTCTACAATGACCTTGACGCTACGATACTAGAGTCATCGCTCGTGCCTTTCCACTCGACGAATGCGCCCCTAGTCGCATCGCCACCACTCCATTACGAGCCTCCCCCTCTATCGCCTTTACGAAGACGATGTAGACGAACCGATACCTCTCACTCACCCCTGACCTAGTCCCCGAGCGTGTTCCGGAGCTATCTCCGCTGCTGGCGAGCAGCGGTTGACGGTGTCGCCGCCTACGAACCCGATCATATACCAGTTGTTTTGAAGGGAAAAGTAATGGGATCTGCGGAGCGGAAGACATCGTGACCTGGGAGGAGTGCCGTAGGGTCGTGCCGAAGCCGTCCCTGCCTTTACTTTGTAGTTTTTTGCTGCAGAGGACAAGACGCCGCACACCGACGGTCTGCTCTGGCCACCTAGGAGCTATTCCTCAGACTCGAATGGCTTCTCGTTGTGGGTTCCCATCCGTGTCAATGGAGATCCAGCTGGAAGTCCAGCGGCCTTGAAGGGAAGGATACAGAGACTGCGTAGATGGGCGCTGGGGTCGCCTTGTGGCAATTAATATAGTTCTCCTGTCTGGCGAGGATGCTTCGGGCGGGAATCATAACAGTTTCCATGGACCGTCCGCGCTCATAGACTCTGATAGCTGTAGACTATTGCTGCATATCGTTTGTGATGTTGGCAAGGCCTCACTTGAGTGGTAGGTAACCTCAACCCTGATAACCACCTGTTCTGGACGAATCAGTTTCGTGGTTGCCATGGGTCAGCCGGAGTGTCGTACAGAGACGATCGGGCAAGCCGTTGCGGAAGGGTTGTCGCTGGTGTTGCTCGGAACGGCCTTGAAACTCCCCGCTGACGCATAAGTTGTCAGTATTCGCTCTTGTATGGTCCAGGATGGTTCGACCAGAGGACTAAGGGACTTATTGTAGGTGTCTGGATGTTGATGTATACTGCGCGCTTCATACACTGCTCGTATGATGTGACGGACGGACAATCTCCCTGATTGCGAGATAGGAGATAGGAAACATTCGGCGGGCGGTATTGATACTGAGGAGAGTCGTCACAGTCTTCCTTGTAAAAAACACATGCTCAGAATCGTGTTATAGTCTGAGGAGCCCAGGAACGAGATTGTTCTTTCCGCACCCTGAGGACGGGCTGTCGTCCTTCGCCTTTTGCCACGGAATTCCCCCCTTTTCGCTTTTCTAGCAAATGGTAGGTTGCATTTGTTCATCACGGCCAACCAAGGTTCGGCATTTTCAAGGAAACACAGCCCTAGCACGGCAGAACAATGCCGCCGCATATAAGCCGAACCCAACCTGATCTGATATGGGAGTTATGGCTGTGTTTGCGAACGCTAGTGATCTTGAAATAAACCACGTACTGTCGAAAGACCTCTCTGCCCATGTAAACCGGCCACGGGTGGCTACTTTTGCTTCAAAAGCCGCGGAAGGTCCATCCCTAGACCCCATACATATTGGAATTTGATCAGATATACGAATCTTTTTCGATGATTGCTCTTCACGTAGTGACTTGGCCTCGGGGTATGACAAGGTGTCATTTGAACGAGGAAGACGAATCGGCTAATACGGACAAGATACTGTGGATTCCAGTAGGTTAGACTATCACAACGCAAGCTTCAGCCCCTTCTCCCCACAAGAAGGCATTTCTGTATTGGAGCGATATTGGAGATGGCGTATGCTGATGTCCATCTCTTGCAGTGTTCCTGTACGCCTCATTATCTTCGTCAAGGCCTAGAGACCTAGCTACGATGTGGCCGGTTCGATAGAATGACTAGACGATAACTTTCTTACATTGTACAGTTACACAGCAGGGCGTGGCTGGTTGCTGCTGTGTTTGATAGCTGCTTTGTCGGGAAACCGATATGATCAATTATCTATGTGGCCAAACTTTTTCATTGTCGATAACTGATTTGTGAGCATGCACCAGCCTGCCCTATATTCATATTTCTTTCTGGTCGTTGAAGAACCTAGTTTCGTCTGAGGTTCGATCGTAGAAACAAGGACTAAAGCTTGGCACGTATTTTTGGTACTCCGTGACACGGAGTCGAGTACAAGGATGCGTCTTTGGACGCCAGCAGCATCGTGAAATCCGAGGAACAACCAACCACTTGGGGTGTTCAAGCCAACAAGTGACATATATCTTGTCTTACTTCAAGCGGAAATAATTTGGTAGACGTCCGGGGTATGTTTGGAAGCCATGTGCTATCTAAGACACAGGAGTCACGAAGAGCTTATACGCCGGCCGTTCCAGAACAAAGGTCAGTGTGAAAGCAAGGGGAAACGTCGAAATGGAAAAGCTTGCGAACCTGTACAAGGTGGTATTCGCCATCGTTCAACATCCGGGCATAGTCTACTAGTTGCTTTTTTCGACGACATAGCCTCCACGCGAAACTTCATCGAGGCATTTCGAGAGTCGGAACTACGCCGCAGGAGTTGGCCGCAAGTGGCTTAATGCGAGAGGATATTTCAACACGTTCTGATGTAGTGCAGATTTTCCACCTTTGGCTAGAGGTTGCCTGCTGTTCGTACCACAACGAGTATGGAGAAGTTGTAGCTCGTATGGCCGCCTACCGCATCAGGTATCACGACACCCCCCCTCGCACAGCAAATTCCCGTCTGACGCCTCACCCTTCTGTTCACACGAGCCCAACCCCTCCCCATTCCAGTCGTCGTCCATGTTGTCCAAGGTGTGCCCGTCTCACTCAGCCAGCTAACCCGCGGATAAGCCTTCAACAGCCGCATCTGCCCATCTCACGTCGCACAAGACTCATCTTCCCCGCACCCAAGAAAAGAAACAGACGAGGGAGAATGCGCGCAAGGCCCCAAAGAGGGTGTGCGGCGAACCCGACGACCGCCTTCTCGGGTGATGCGAATCGTCAGCAACAGCCACCAAACGCACCACTTCGGAAGACCACAACCCAACCGGTTCGTCTTGCATGAGCTTCGGAAATAGAAGGGATAGGGCAAAAAGGGAATAGGGGTTGTGGGATATGAAGGCGTGGAAAATGGATAGCTCGAGGCCGCAGCATAATGACGTTGGCAGTAACACACCACCAAGCGTTGGGCTGCAGAGGGTTCCAACGTCGCCGTCGGACAACATCCAACATCAGGCCACAACCCCAACGCCGAGCCGAGGCTTTCTGTCTTCACGATGCGGAGAGGTACAGCGGATGTAGATTCATAGTGGCTCCGAGGTCCTTGCGGGTAATTCTACAATGATGCTGGTGTATGCATATTCCTCTCTACAGGCCCACGCTATCTCACTCATACATGCCCTCTTTTTTGGGACTCGCTTGCAGCCTGTACATTTTGATTTCAAAGAGAGAGAGAGTAAAACACCGTGTAGTTACACAAAAACACACGCTCTCCTGTTTTCTCTCTTGCCTCGTCCCCCGCCCCCACTGTTGCTAGAACTTCCCCCCTCACCGTATTCTTCCGTCGCACAGGCTTCTGGCGCCAGCCGCCGTCCGACCAACCGTCTTATGCGTCCACCCTACTATGACGATTCCGAGGTATCAAGACCTGCCTGCTTGACCAAGCCGTAAAACACACCCTGCTTCTTAATAAGTTCCTGGGGCGTGTCAAACTCCACCACCTCGCCCTTGTCCAGCACAACGACGCGGTCGCTATCGAGGATGGTATTGATGCGATGCGCGACCGTGATGATGGTGCGGTTCGCGAACATTGGCGACCGCAATGTCGTCTGCAGCATGGCATCTGTTTCAACGTCGACGGCCGCCGTCGCCTCGTCCAGCACGAGGATGTTGGACGGTGTCAGCATCGCACGAGCGAGCGACACGAGCTGCCGCTGACCCTGCGAGAGGTTGGAACCTGCGGCGTGAAGAGAATGAGTCAGCAATCGCAATATGCGGCTTATCAATAGTTGAAGTCGGCAAAGCTGGGCAGAGCGAGTAAAGAAGGGAATCATCGGGGGAAGGACGCAGAATGAGATAAGCTAGCACGAGACATCCACTGCATGCGTGGAAGATCATGCAGGGGACTCTCAATGCGGGGATGGGTGCATGTGAAAGATGATGGCCACCCGGTAACTCAAGTCCCATGCAACGGCATCGACTTCTGATATGGCATCCGGGAGCACACGATTGCGAACGGCCGTAGACAATGATGTGGATGGCCGAGGGGTAAAGCCGACAAGAAGCGAAGAGGAAACATGCGGCAACTCACCTCCTTCATTAATCTTTGCGTCTAGGCCGCCTTCCATGCTCGATACGTGGTCCTTCAACCGGGCGTGTTCTGTGATAGTAACGCGCATTAGCTCCAATTTCCGTTGATGGAGGGGTCAGAGACACCCTTTCTCATCGAGAGTGTGGGGGGCGGAAAGTTGCCACGATTGGGTCGGCGAGGGGATGATCGCTCGTCTTGTATTACTTACCCAACACGCTCCAAAGCTCGGTGTCATCATGTACGTTGGCGGGGTCCAAATTATCCCGGACCGTGCCCTCGAACAGAGCAGCGTCCTGTGGGATGATGGCTAGTCTTCTACGCAGGTCCAGCAGTCCAATAGAGGACGTGTTAATCTGGTCAATGCTGATGTGACCAGCAGTCGGCTCGATGATGCGGAAAAGCGCCAACGTCAACGAAGACTTGCCCGCTCCCGTGCGACCGACGACGCCAATCTTCTCGTGCGATTTTATATCGAGGTTGATGTTCTTCAGCACGTTATCCAGGCCCTCACGGTATCGCGTGCTGTAGTTCTTGAACTCGAGGGAGCCCTTGGATGGCCAGGCGACGGGTGGCCTGTTGCCCTTGATAATCTCAGGGGCTTCGCTAGGCAGGCGGGCATATTCGAGAACACGCTCGACCGACACGATGTTTGTCTCCACTTCGACCGTCTGGCGCACAATCCAGTTGAGCGATGTCGTAATCGACAATGCGTAGGACATAGCGAGACCGACCATGCCAGGGCTCACCGGTCTGCCGGTTGCCACGGTGAGAACAATACCTCCAGCGGCCGCGAGAATGACAAGACCACCGATGAATTCGAGGCGGACAGCCAGCCAACGGTTCGCGCTAATGGACGGGAAGTACGCCTTGAGATTGGCATCAACACGCCATTCGTTCTCAAGCTCAAATCTTTGCTGTTGACGGTAGGCCCGAATCGTCGAGACACCTCCAAGAGACTCCTGGAAGTGGGCGTAAACGGGACTCTTGGTAACACTGTCGAGTCTCTTGAGCTCACGAGAAGTGCGAAGGTAGTATCGCTGGATCCAGTAGTAGATCAAAGTGATCGGGATGATGAGTGCGGTGAACGGAGGTGTCGTTATCGAAATGACCACCAGGGTGAAGCAAGAGCGAGCAGCATTGACAAAGAGCATGTTGAAAGTTCTGGCAAGAACCTCATCGACCCTGTAGATATCACTCGAGAATCGGTTGAGGATGCGGCCAGTCGGCGTGGTGTCGAAAAAGGACATGGGAGACCTGAAGATAGCGTTGGCCATCCTTTCGTGCAGCTTCCTTGATGCCTCAATGGAGCAGAAGATCCACAAGATAAGTGTTTGGAGGACCGTCAGGAGCGAAGAACCAATGCCGAAGACAAAATAGATGCCGATGTAGTATCCTACGTTCAAGTTGCCACCTACTTTCTGGTTTTGTTCGGACCATGTCTTGAGCCACGCAGAAGCACCGATATTTGCCGTCTGGGAGGCCAACAGAGCGATCAAGTAGATTGCGACAGCAACAATGTTGCTGTTCTTGGCGTACTCGAAGTAGACGTTCCATTTGACCTTTCCCTGCTCAATGTGTTCCTTGGTCTGCTTGGACTTGCTGCCAGCGATTTCTTCGTCGGTAAGCTTCCCACGAGGTCCCTTGAAGCTGGCGGTACTAGCGCGACGCAGAGTGGCCATGCTCGAGGATCGCTTCTTATTTCTCACAGAGGCGCCGATTTTGATGGGTTCCATCTCCGGGAGCTGCTCTTGGGCCTCTTCCATCTCGTTCTTTTCTTGACTGCTGCCCTCGGCTCCGATGATGGTCGATGTCTCGCTACTGGAACCGCTTGAGTTGGCGGAGGAGGACGGGCCTGATTCTTGGCCAGCAGTCTTGATGAGATCATTCACCATGCCCTTCATAGCCACGAGCTGCTTGTAAGTTCCACGCTCGGCGATCTCACCGTCCCTAATCATGGTGATGTAACTGGCCTCCGAGAGCACGGCGATGGCGTTGGTTGCAAGAATCCGGGTCTTGGTGTTCAGCAGACCTCTGGGGCCTAGGACATTCTCGATGATGTGTCTTCCAACGTGGGAGTCGACAGCCGAAAGGACGTCGTCCAAGAGGTAGATGTCCGCTCTGGCATAGACAGCGCGGGCCAAAGCCACACGTGCCTTCTGGCCACCACTCAATGAGATACCTCTTTCGCCTACAACTGTCTCATCACCATCAGGGAGTTGAGCAAAGTCATCGACGAGAGCGCAAGCCTTGACAGTCTTTTCGTAGAAATCGGGATCGAAGCGGTAACCGAAAATGATGTTCTCCTTGACCGTAGCGTTCAGGATCCAGGAACCCTGGGCGACATAGGCCGTGGTTCCATGGACCTCGACCAGTCCCTTAACTTTCCAGAGGTCGCCCAAAATGCACTGCAAGAAAGAAGACTTGCCAGCGCCAACACGTCCAACAATGCAGGACAGTTCACCCTTGTAGGCAGTGAAATCGATGTCCCTAAGGGCCTCCTTATCCTCATGGCGGTTCCAGGAGAAGGACCCATCTCGGATGATGACGGTCTCCTCTCCCATCTCCTCAGGCGCCGGCTTGACCGTGATTGCATCAGGCTGGATCTCTTCGGCAGTCAGGAAGGAAGTCAAGCGACCAACGGCGACACTAGCTTCGACGATGGAGGTAATGACCATAGGAAGTACAGCCAGGGGAACGTGAGCAGGTTGAAGAGGGCTAAACGAATGATTGTCAGTTTTGAACTCTATAATTCGAGTGCTGGGGGGCTTACTGAGCGCGGGGAAAACAATGTCTGCTGTCAACGGCTTGTCCTGTGTCAGAACAAAGACGGCAAAGGTCGAGCAGGAAACAAAAAACGGAGCCGTGCTCCAGGTAAAGTTGGCGAAGGCCTGCGTCGCTCCAATCTTGCGTAAGTTCTTGAGTTCGAGATCATTGCGGACAAAGTTTAGCTTGTTCATGAAAGCAGCACCCCAGGCGTAGAGCTTGATGCTCTTCATGTTGTTGATGATCTCGTTGATCAAACGGCTTCTCTTGTCCTTGTTCTTCATCTGTTCCTTTTGCAAGTTTCTCATGATCCTGGCAATGAAACCATGCGCAGGCATCATGATAATCATGACGCCGATGCCAGCAAGCATGGACCAGCCGACCAGCTGGTAGAGAGACACCATGCAGATAATGATCTGGAAAGGGGCAGACCAGACTTGCTGAGCAAACTGGGTCAGGTCCTGCAGACGTTGTGCATCAACCGCCATGTAGTTCACGATATCGCCAGTTGACTTGGAAGCCCGCCCCTCATTGGACAGCTTCATGGACTTTTTGTAGATGGCGGATGCCAAACCACCCTTGATACGCATACCGGTAACGAATGCAAGCTGGAAATATTGATGCTGCCGAGGGTTAGTGGGGCTGATCTCCAACTACTCTTACAAGGTTAGACTCACAATCATGGAAGTCTGCAGGACGGCAATCGCGAACATAGCCAAAGCAATAGCAGCACCCTGGATCACAGGCTGGTTCTCCTCTGCAGGATTTTTCCAAGAGTCCACGAAAGCGATGAGGTACTTGAGCAGCTGTGGCTGGACATACTGTGTGACGTCGTTGACGATCTTGAAGAGCGCGGCTATCGCGTAGGGACCACCATAAGCACGGAACATGGCGAGCCACAAAGACGGGTTCTTGTGGTGCTTCAGTTCGTAGGCCCACGCTTGGTTGAATGCCTCGCCAGTATTTTTGGTCTGGTCCTTCTTGGCAAGCCCCCATAGGTCATCTTCGGTAAGATACTGCTTGTAACCGTAGCGCATCAGGGGAGTCATCCACGAGAAGGTCAACAAGGAAAACACGGTAGCGTATTCGATCGGACATTCCTCCTCGTCAATCAAAGCCTCGTACGCGCTGACCTTCCTCGGCCACAGCCACTCGATCAGGAACTCGACGATGGACATTCCAAAGCCCACGGTGTAAGTGATAAAGTATGCCGGGCTCGTGTCATAAAGCTGCTGCGAGATCAGAGAGCGGAACTTGACGGTGTAAGCGATCAGGAGGAAGAGCCAGTAGAACAACACAACGCCGTTCGCATTGCGCAGCCGGGCGTGCTCGATCCATTGGATGGCAAAGATGACGCCAAGAGAGATGATTGTAGCAACAGTCGTCCAGAATCTAAAGTCGCCGAACCAGACACCGGGGTAGTTGATTATTTGGATACCAAGTTGTACTGCGACATCGGCAATGATCAATCCGAGGAGCGTCTGCAGAGGCGGCTTGTCAGAATAGAGTGATAGAAGGAACAGCGGGCCAGAGCACTTACTTGCTTAGTCCAAAAGTGCCAGTCCCTTGGAGCGTCGGTCGGCTTCTTGCGCTGGAGAATCCAAGCTATAGCAAAAGATCCAAAGACAACACCAAAGACTGCCACGGATGCTATCCAGACATCGATAAAGCAAGGTGTGAAGTCGTATCGGATGGGACTCAATGGGCCCCAACCCTCCTCGTTACCGCATAGCGGCTGCTTGTGGTCTGCGGTCGCAGAAAGGTAATTGCTGCCGAGCTGTCCCAGGCGGTGGAATCCGGTGAAAGATCCCGTGTGCAGAACGCGCTGCGGCGAGTATTCGGAATAGTCCATGACGAATTGCTCTCTGCGGTTCCCCGAGCCCGCCTGTCAACGCATGCTAGACAGCAGGACAACTACTCGATTGGGGGGATTCTCGGTCGCAGGGTCTCTCGGGATGTGGTTTTCGGAAGATTTTGACGAACGAATAGTGTATGTGGGACGTAGACGCTGCAAAGAAGACGACACCGACACGGAGGCGACTCTGTCGTGGCGGGAAAAGTTTTGAGAGAAACGACCGAGTCGGAGCAGACTGCATGCGACGTGCCGCGAAATGGATGACCGAAAGGTGTGGTGGAGGCTTCTCGTCCCAGATCGGTGTGCGACGTGACGCTGCTGCACGGTTTGTCAGCTTCCCTCAGAGTGTTTGAACGCTGCGGAAAACGTCGTTCGGGTTCACCCCGGAGAGGACCACGCTTGCAGGCAGCGACGGCTGACCCAACCACAGGGCTCACCGCAGTTTAGCTCTCGGAAAAGTGGGGAGCTATGACGACCTGCATTGGGGCCCTGTCCTGCATTCGGCTCTTCTACAATACATGTCCGGTACCTCCGACGCGTGCACAATTGGAAAAGCTCGCCAGGTCAGGCCCATGTTCTCTGTGCAGATACGGATACACCAGAAACGATGGTCCCGCGCGTGTCAGCGTCTTGCACCTCAGATAAGACGTTCGGCTCGGGCACTTCAAACCCGGACCATCCATCTTTGCCGCGTATCCTTGTGGACCTGAGTCGTCGCCATCGTTCACTTTACACCTGTTCAAGATGCAATTGAGGGAGATATTGAACAATTGATGAAATGCATCTCCAGCACGAGCTGCGCCAGGGTCCGGTCTCTCGGCTCCAACAGCTCATCAAACACACATCCGTTTTCTTTGAGCAACCAACCCGAGACAGAAACACGACGCGGGGGGATGTCCCCGGATGCAACATTGCTTTTTGCCTATCCCGATCCATGCCATTTAGAGTTTGGTGAAACAACCCCCTTTATCTTCAGACAGCTTCCACCGCGTGTATCGTGACACCTTCATCGCACTTGGCTGTCGAACCCCCAAACCACAACCTATTGCAACAAACATACGCATTTACTAATCATGGTGTACGCGTGCGGTGTCTACTGGCGCGAGTTCCCATCTGGCTGGCGCGCCAGAAACTAACACTGCAATGCCACCGGGCACTACCCGCCAACCTATGAATGTGCCCTTTGCGACGATTACTTTGACAACAAACAGCAAATGCTGGATCACGAGAGAGAGGAGCACTTACATTGCAGTCCTTGTGACCGCGATTTCCAAAGCTGGAACAACAGTCAGCAGGTTTAGTCCCTAGCCCCTGCCCTTTGCACTTCGCCCTGACCCATCAACAGCATCTGAAATCCAGTGTCCACCGCGGTTCAAACATGTCTTGCCCATTTTGCGGGGCAAGCCGGACCTCCGCAACCGGCCTTGTGCACCATCTCGAGAGAGGAAGCTGTCCCGATGCCCCATTGGACCGTGACTCCCTCTACCTTGCTGTCCGTCGTCGCGACCCAGATGGCATTCTCTCCAAGAAGCTTCTCGAGTTCCACGGCTCGATCCAGTATTCCGCCTCCGAAGGGGCTTACAACTACCGCCTCAATGCCTATCAGTGCTACATGTGCGGCAACCTATACGGGAAGCTCAGTTCGCCGAACCAGCATCTGGCATCCCCAGCCCATCAGCAACCTTACTACCACTGTCCGAACAAGAGATGTGGGCGAGAGTTTACCACCTTGGGGGCCACGATGAACCATCTTGAGAGTGAGACTTGTGGCTTTATGAGATTTGGAGCTGTACAGAGCAATGTCGGCCGTATTCTTGACTCGCGGCGCATGATTTCCTTCTGAAGGCACTAGACACCTGAATCTTGATACATAACCATGTCTGTCACTAAGCCGGCATGCGCTGATCTTACAGCTATGGGTTTTCCAGCCAGATAGCCTGTCTTATTGTGACGGATGTATTGTAGATTGAGCGCTCAACCCGAATGAATTGTTACGGAATTGACTCGATATCCTGAAGATGATAACAATCCAACCGCGAGCCGAATGAATGAACGCCTCCGCCATGTACTACATCAAGGCCAAATGCTCGATTCCGTATCGGGTAACGTAGAAGCCAGTCAAGTTCACCGGGACTTCACTCGGTTCCTTTGCCTTCATCCGGGGTTTCACCAACTCTTTCAGTGACACAAAGCCCGCATTCCTTCGCCCTTGAGTTTGTGCTCAAAGCAGTGCTTCTAATAGGTCTTGACTATCTTTCTTCCGACATACTTTTTGTTGGCAGTATCACGCCGACGACCGAGCTTGAGGGCGGGGGTTGCGGTCGAGCGTTGCCTTTCTCCGACACGCAGATGACCTGGTCTGTCGCGACAGACCCGGATGAATCGCACCTCCGACAGGCTGAAAGACATCGCTGTCTTTTGTTTTTTTGTTTTTTTGACACGTTGCCCTCTGCAGTCTCGGTAGTATCAGTGCAAGGCTTTATCCAGGCACAAAAAGACTGTTTCTGCTCCCTCATGATCAACTGTGCAGGGGATTTCGTGGGCGAAACTTTCACATCGATATTGTAATGACGTTCGAAAACAGCCCTTAGCCGAGTTATTCGGGCGATACTTGTGTTTTTTTCTGAAAACAGATAGGGCCCTCTCGACCCAGAATTTGAACTTAATATCATGAACAGTATCGTTCGATTCTTACGCGACCGCGGTGAGCGCGATGGATTAGATGACTTCCCACCAAATGATCGAATTTGGTACAACAAAGAGAAAAAAAAGGCATCTCCTGAGTCCTTCGAATCCCATGCCTGGATTTACTGCAGCAATCGACCGCCTTATCGAGACCAAGGGAGTCAATCGTCAGTGAAGGGCATCCCTGCTGGAGGGGACTGGGAACCAGCATCCCGACTTTGCCCAGTAAGTGCCATACTATCCATCAAGTTGACCACTGGCTATGTGACTGTATGAATTTCCTATCGTGTTCCGAAAGAAATTCAAGCTCATTTTCTTTGGATTGAAATCGGCTAGAAACTCACGTGGACCAAGACACATCGTTTAATGCAGCCTATGAGTCCTATAGCGATGACTCTGAAAACAGTTCGACTAAGACATACAGTTCCCCGAAGCTTCGACTTTGGGTATCATTAATTGTTGCAATTGGACAGCAGAGCAAGGTCATACCTAGATCTACTTCCGCGCTATACGGATGCGGCCGTCATCTTGACGGCAATGAAGCTTACAGCGACGCAGGCCACCAAAAGAAATGGTTCAGCAGTTGTGTTTAAGGCCTGCTTCTGCTCTGTTGGGATTTCAACAAAGGCTCAATGCAGCCATCTGATAATGACGTCTGTCGAGAAGCTTTTGGTCTGTCTGTCAAACCATATAGGAGTGCTCTTTGAGGGGGTATAGGGAGACTATTTCAGATTGGCTCAGTGCCCAGCAGAAAGAAGATATCATGAAATCAAACCCGGACGAAAAGAATTCAAACCCTGAAGTCAGCTCCCATGACTTTGAGTCACATCTTTCTTTCGAACTTGGGATTGTGAGACGGACTTCCTCTGACTTCAGCTTTTGGAATACGAAAGGAGCAGCCCATGTAAGGTATCAAACAATCGGCCGAACAGTATTCTCCTTTCGCCTAAATAGATGATTGGATTGTTACCGAAAGCAGACTCCCGTCCTTCCATCGAGTATTGACCGTTGTCCCGCCTGAGGCAGCTTCGCCGAGTTTCATGGGAGGATGGTTGGAAAAGTCGTCCTAAGTACAGGCAACCATTCTAACTAGATCGCCTGCTCGATAAAGCCTTGGATTCGTCAAGAAACTGGAGAACACATGCTTCGGCAGGCCACGGGTGCGCTACAAGACCGGTTGAAGACTGTTATCAAGAGGACGGAGGTAAGCTGACTTTTACCGACCGCCTGACTCAACGGGATGAGGAAACGCAGATGAGGAACACCTTTACCTGAGGTTTTGGGAGCAAGAGCGCATGAGCGATGACAAGTCGAACTAAGAGCGAGCGATGTGATGCTGCAGTGTGAGATGATAGGCTAAGGCGAAGATGATGGGGGGCGGAAAGGCTGGACGAGTTGATAAATGGATGGAAGAATAAAAAAAGTACAAATGCATCAGAAAACGGGCACAAAGACGACATTGGGGCCAAATTGAATAGCACTGAGAGCACTTGGCTTCAACTCTCACTAACATTCTGTATATGAGATCAGGTAGATTTGATATTGAAAGTGCACCTACTTGATTTCCACTATCCCTTCTTCGTTTACATTGGCTTGACCGGTAAAAATATAAAATCACCTCTGCGTACAGCCCAGTCAAAGGGGTCTTGATACAGAAGAAGAAGATAGACTACCAACTCAAGACAACGAGAGAACAACCGTTGCGAATGTTCCGATATCTCGGGGGAGATGGGGCGTTCAACCAGCACTAACTGACTTGTATAGAATACGCCTTTCCCGAACAACTGTTTCTGCCCGTGTGCGTACTGATTCACATCGCCCTTAGTGAGAATCTTTGGTACGCCGTCAAATCTGCTGACAAAATCAACATCAGAGTCCAATGATTGCATACTGAACGATGTATTTGGATTTATCACGACCCTTCAGAACATTGAATCCGAACTGTCGTCACCAGGCTTAGAGATGCCTTGCCTTTTCATAACGCCGTGAGAGGCACGAGAGTGGCTTTTTGCTTCTTATTATGACAAACACCTCAGCCAGGTTGCACATGGCATGTAGTTTGGCTTATCGGACGACGTTGCAGCCGGCTGAGCCTCAAGATACCTAAAAAGAGCCAAGTGCCTTCCTCGTCCGGGGAAAGGGCGTTACGTACCTAGGCTGGTGGGCTCAACCTTATCTCGCAGCATATGGAAGGAATGACCCAGGCACGCGGGAAATGTGCCAAGACCCGCAAACAGGAAACCTTCAACGCCGCAAAAGATAAGATAAGCAACAACGACGTCAACCTAGGACAACCCCTCCAGCAAACATATCCGAAACTTTATTCAACTTCACCTCTCAATCCAGCGTTTTTACGACGACGAAAACGACGAGCTTGACTAGTCACCGCGCTGATGGGAATCTCGCCATGACGAGCCCGCCAGCTTCTCCGCGACGGCGGCACATACTTTCATCCGTCAACCCCGAAGAGCGTCACGAGGAGGCGCCACAACCCACGAAGCGCAGTTCACCTATCGCGGCGGAATCGAAAAGAGAAGAACAACCGGCAGCGGGCGATGGCGAAACCCTACAGCCTAGATCATCGCGCATTCGCCTGAAGTCGAAACACTCCAAGTCGAGCAGATCACATCGTCACCGCGACCGCGATGATGACGAATACCGTTCCTCTCATCACCGTCATCACCACCGCCGGCGGCATCACAGACGATCAAGATCACCGACGCCACCGAATCCCTACGAACAACAAACGCTCGACCCAGATGCCGCGTTCCGTGAGTCACTCTTCGACGCGATGGCGGACGACGAGGGCGCAGCATACTGGCAGGGCGTCTACGGGCAGCCAATACATGTTTACTCCAACGAGCGCCCCGGCCCAGAGGGCGAGCTCGAGCGCATGACGGACGAAGAATACGCTCAGCATGTCAGACAGAAGATGTGGGAGAAGACACACCAGGGCTTGATCGAGGAGAGGGCCCGCCGAGAAGAGGCACGAAAGCGCAAAAGCGAAGAAGAGAAAAGGAATCGGAAACTCCAGGAAGACATGGAACGAAGCCTTCGCCGCGGAGAGGATCGCCGCAGAAAGAGGATGTGGACACAGCTCTGGGAAGAGTACACGCAAGCCTGGTCAGATTGGGCCAACGATGTGGACAAGATACCATGGCCTGTGGAAAGTGGACGACGAAAAGACATCAACGAAAAAGAAGTCAGGCGGTTTATCGTCAACGGACTGGCGGTTGAGGATATCGGCGAGAAGGAGTTTGCCGCAAAGCTACGCGAAGAACGTGTACGATGGCATCCGGACAAAATGCAGCAGAAGCTTGGAGGACAAGTGGACGACGCGGTCATGAAAGACATTACGGCCATTTTCCAAATCATCGATAAATTATGGGCAGATACCCGGTCAAAGGCGTAGCAGATGCTAGGCTACATCTTTCGACCACCACTTATTTATGGCGCAATCAAAGGGAAATTAATCAGGCACAGACTATGGACTATTTTGGTAAATGCGGGAGCAATCATGTTCCAACGCAACTGTATGTACAACGTTTCTTTTCTTGTACTGTGAAACATTGGGTGAAGCAATTGGGCGAGGTTCGTAAAGCCAAGGTGGCCGAAGCTGGGTTGCACCATTGTTCTCCCATCTGGGCGATGACGAGTTAGGACACCTACAACCAGGAGAAGCGCGTGGGTCAGGATACGAAGTCTGGCACGGGACACAAGCGTAGCCCGTCGCACCCTGAGACTACCAGGTGAAGTGCACCACTATTTGTCAAGGCCACAATACCGTCTATTCGTCCAAGGAAAATACTACCACCAGCATCCAGTGCCAAGATGTTGGAAGCGGCCAAGGTGCATGCGACGGCAGCCATTTTATTTTCAAACATCTCAATCCCGCGCCCAATCTTCACGTCCAAATCGAGAAACTGTCAACAAACAACTGTTTCAAAAATATACGGTTCGATGTTTGATTTGATGTACAATTCGTACTGGTATTACATCATGATATCTCTGATAATCCCAAAAAGCCCAAACAATGCTGTGTGATATCCATCATCACCACCCCTACCAGAGGTGTCGATCGTTTCCGCTAGCTCAAAAAATCCGTAACGAGTCATAGTTCCAAAATTTACAGGTTGGCAACGAGAGCGGCACCACCGAAGAGGGCACCGAGAGCGACGGCAGCGGTCTGGTGGGCACCAGCGCCGGGGGCGGTGGTGCTGGCAGCAGAGCCGGTGGCAGCGGAAGCTTCCGATGCAGCGGAGCTGGAGGCAGCGTCGATGGCGGAAGAGATGCTGGCAGAGGCGGAAGCATCGGTGGCAGAGCTAAGAGCCCCGCTCAAGGAGCTTTGCACAGAGGCAGCGGCCGAGGTGATGGAGCCGAGGCGGGAAGAGGCCTCTCCGGCAAGGGACGAGGCGGCGCCGGAGGCGCTGCTCAGGACGCCAGAGGCATTGGACTCAATGGCGCTAGAGGCGGAGGCGATGATGGAGCTGAGCTCAGAGGCACCAGGGACGGCAGGGGCAGTAGTGGTCTCCTGGGCCTTTTGAAGGGGTCAGTACATGGTGTTAACAAGAGAATTGAATGAGATCATCTTACGGCAGCCAGGGAGACAAGGGCAAAGACGGTGGCAGCGGTGAAACGCATTTTGGTTGATTTGATTTGGGTTGGTGGTTTAAAGATTGAGGTTACTGATTAAGTGATTGAAGGTTAAGTCGATGAGTATTGAGTACAATTGGGATGATTGGTAAAGTGGAGGGGAAGAGAGCAAACGTCGGAAGAGCTGGTGGAAACAGTCTTATATATCCAGTGGTGAGCACCATTCTGCGAAGCCAAGACGAGTCCCGTCCTCAGTCTCTCCCGTCTCGGTTCGTTCCTACACGCCCCCCCCCTCGTCTCTCCCCTCGCGCCGAGAGAAGCCAGGCACCACTACGCGATCCTCCATAATACCGGGCAGCCGTACGGAGTACCTTGGCGCGGTTGTGGTGAGGTGAGTGGTACGAATACTGTCCATGATGGGATTCCTCCTCACCTCCACACGCCCCACGCCCCTGTGCCTCACCTCACCAGCAGCCAGCACGGAGGCGAACACACGACAGACCGGGGGGCTTAGGTGCGACTAGGTTACGTTGCTAGTCTAGCGGACCGCGGGTGGCACTCCGAGACCTGATGCCACGGTACGGACTACATACGTATCCCGGGAACCCATGTTCAATACTTTGGAGCAGTGTAGGACAGAAGTGCGAGAGCAGACAGGAAGACAACGAAAGAGAGGGAGACCCACAACCTCACGTCATCCCCACGGTAACTTGCCTTCTCCCAACTCGGTTACCCAGCTGAGGAGACAGGCCAGTGGGTGTGTGTGGCTGGCCTGGGGCACTTCGAAAGCCTTCGACAGCTCCTCTCCTTCGTAGCAGCCTGCTCGTCTTCCTGCGTTTTGTCTGAGACTTGGAGAGGATCATGATCCATCGGCGCTCTGAGGGTTTGCCTGCGAGCCTGACCGGGTTAGGACGTGGTGTAGGTTTGGCAGGCTGCGGCAAAGCACCAAGCAAGCAGCTCGCAAGGCTCGTCACATCCATCATTCTGGGGGAGCGGCAAGTTTCCACCAGTCCGCTGGGACGTAGGTACGTCGCAGTACGTACACACTAGCCTGAATACAAGAACATCCTGGACGAGAGAAGCTGCAGAGCTGCTCCGTCGAAGAATCCGATCCCGAGAGAGGCGAGATCCCCAATCGGTTGATGATGGAGAACGTGTTCGCCTTTCCGTTACCTGCTGTGCTCCCCAACGAAAAGAAGCGCTAGACTGGCCAAACTGGGCTAATCCAGCGCCGTTTGAGGAAATCTCTCGAGGGGGACTGGAATGGTGCTAGCTGAACGGTGCACAGCAAGGCGAGACACGCACGCACGCACACAGTACGGTGGCGTTGGGTGCCGCGCTGCGTGGCTAACGTTTGTTCCAGAGGGGGAGGGATGAACAAAGAGAAGCTCCTAAGCCCGGTGCCTGAACAGCCATTCCCAAGATAGCAGCAGGGAGACGAGCAGCTCGCAAGCCACGCGGGTCCATGGCATTGGCGCGGAGGGAGTTGTCATCCGCACGATCCACAGTACCCGCTCGAAGGCACCTCCAATGATGGGAGAAATTGCCCAGTCAAAGTGACGGTCAATCGGCGGGAAAGCAAAAGGGCAGAAGAGGGAAGGAGGATGTAACGGTCATTGGTCGCCAGAGGGGCTTCGGTGTATCCTCCGGGGTCACTGTTCCAACAAACAAAATGGGCAACATGTCATCGAACAACAAAACCGGGATCCTTTTGTCGAAGGGCGAGAGCACTGGATGCTGGATTGAGCCGGCAACAAAAAAGACACACGAAACGGGGCCAATGACACCATGGCCAAGGACTGAGTCGGCGGCGGCGGCGAGGCGATCGACAGGAGGTGGAGAAGTTCCGAGGACATGATTCGTCAGAGCTTCATTCTTTGGCGTCGAGGTCGGGGCAGCCATTGGAGAGAATCACACCGTTCCGAGGTTACTCTGGGCTACGTGCATCTCATCCTCGTACAGACCCGGCCAGAGCAAACGGTGACACACACAAACGGGAAGACGGCAATGCTGGGCAGTATGGAAGCTGCGGAGATAGCAACAAGAGCCTAAAAGAAGACGAAGAAGAACCTGTTTGCGGAGGCAGGGCGGAGGTTGGACAAAATTGGCATGGCAATCAGGCTCCCGCAAAGGTTTCGAGTAGACAACGGTTCACAGTAATGCTGAAGCCCTTTCTTGACGTTGCTCGCCTAGGAGGAAGCAGCACAGGATGAGACTTGTGGGCAGGGGGTTGCATCGATTGTGTCGGGACCCCCGGATCGACATGATCCATCGGGATTCTGTGCCAGTCTTTGAGGCTATCCAGCTACGCAGCTGAGAAGCCTTGCCTGTCAATCCTTCAACACCCAGCGTCCACCCGTCGAACCCATCTGCCAGCTCAAACTCAAATGGCATCCCAAGTGCTCTGCGTTTTTGTGCTGACAGCTGATAGACGAGCAAACTTTCCACCTTCGATCCGCAAGGTTTCGGCGTGCCTGAAGCTTGATGCACTGACGGCCGGCAAGTCAAAGCAACCGCACCGGTTCACCCCTGAGCATTCCGCCTTCCATGGTTGGCGCTGATCTAGTTTGCAATATCGCACCGGCAAACTGACCTTTAATATGCCATCGCCCTGGTGTTTATCGGATCAGATCAGACAAGACAGATCAGAATATCTAACCGAACAGCCACAGGCAGGCGTCAAACCCCCGGAGGCCCGAGCCACGTTGATTATGCCATGACGTAACAGGCGACAGGGCCTCAGTTCGGATGAGCCCGCCGCCCCCCTGTCGGCCCCCCAGCGTCCAGCAAAAGCCATGGGCAATTCAGTCATCATCGCCCGCCGTTGATGCAAGTGAAATCCCCCCGAGGCCCGGAATAATGTAAAATAAAAAAAAACGTGACGGGACGGGAGGAGGACAGGAACCTCGTCCTGCCGTTTCCGGTGTGCTCTCATGTCGCAAGTGATCATACTACCACTTGCTATTCTCGGTTGGCGAAGCCATGCAAGCCAATGCATCTGTGGGAAAATGGGACCCGTAAGAAAAGGGGGGGGAGGGAACGTCCTTGTTTGGGGTTCGGTCGTTGGTCCTGGGTTTGAGCTTGACCGCTCACTGGCTGGATCGACTTAATATTGGACGTCTCGACTTCCTTGGCCCGGCACCCCCAAAGGCGAGTGGCCGTTTTCGCTGCTTGGCCGTGTTGGACTGCCAGACTGCCAATGCTGCGCCAATGTCGACCTTGCACTTGGGACCCGAAAGTGCCTCCATCGACTGAACGGTCCTGAATCAGATCAGGCGGCGGGGGTGACGGAGGGGCGGAGCGAGCGGTGGCGCCTCGTCATCGTTCTCGTCGTCTCTTTGCACCTTTACGGCGCCCGAAGGATATTCGGGACCCCTTGTGCGACAGAATACGTACTCGCCGTCGCCGGTCAGCAATCCCGTCGGAGAATGGCCCTGGAGTTAAGCCTCTTGGCCCTTGGGGAATTCGAAACTTCGGCCAGCACAGCAATCTTAGCCTTGGGGGGAGCGGGCACGCCGCACGCGATGCGAGGATGAGGATGAGAGGAGATTGCGTCACGGGCGGCCAATGTCAAGCACACGGTTCGTTTCGGAGTGCGGCGCCGCGTCTGCCAACCCGTCCCAATCGTCGAGATGGCCGCCCAAAGCCCTTACCCGATACGCCCTGGTGCCCTCTCCAAAGTTCGGATTAAGGTGAGGTCTATGCAGCGTAGAGCAAACTCGGTTGAGTAGGCGAGGGGCCTGGGAAAACCTGTCGCTGGGCACAAGGCACGCGTTTGTCCCGACTTGCCACTGCTTCGTAGGAAGGCCTTGGAAGCGTCTGATATTCAGAGCTCGTGGTTTCACCAAGACCTCTGGAAGGAATGCAACGTGCCTTGGAGGGATTCCGTAACTCGCCCGCCGTCGCGATCATGCACGGCTCTAGACCAAAGAACCCCTTGGACACGAGAGGGAGGGTGCACATGCAAACGGGTACGAACGGCAAGCCATACCAGAGAAAGGATGCAGTTGGCCTTGAACCCTGCGTCTCAAAAGGTCTCTGACCCGAATGCTTCTGCCTCGACCGTGAACAGGGTGATCGACAAAGGATCTTTCGTGGGCAGTAACGCCGTCCCACCGTCGCCTCGATGGTAGCTGATCGAACGTGTCCCACATCCTTTCCAACGTCCCACTGTAAAGAGTTAAATGGACGAACTCGGGAAACTCTCCATCCTTGGATGATTCCACCAGGGATGAAGGATGCAACAGATAGTGAACGGACGAGCAAAAAAACGACGCGGCGGCTCCAAAGGCGTTGATCCATCGGCGCCTGACGAACATCGTAGCACGACATGTCGACGGGCATTACATAGGCATGATTATAAGCATATGTACGCCGTATCGTACGCGTCCTCCCACACCAGGCCGCGAAATCAAGATGGGATTCGAAACAATGACCCCCGCGGCAAGTCAGCCTTAATGCAGCTCACATCCTTCGTTTCAGAAAGCTCGGAATGTCCGTTATTTTTCAATTGTCTAGGCTGAGTGTTTTTTTCTGTATCGACCAGAGGGAGGAGGCTTGGCTAGAGTTGTGTCAGCTCATTGTGCCCGACAATCTCTCGTTGCCTCATCCCGCTCGTCCATCATGTCATCCTTCCATGACTCTCATCTCCTAGAAAACTGGGCAATCTCCAAGCATCCTGACCCTCTCAACCGAAATGTGCCTGGCCTTGCCGTTCCCAACTCAGAAAAAAAACGCGAGAAGCGCGACCGCGGCGCCAAGCATCCCGGCCTACGGCTCCAATCGCTTCGATCTGCATGACGCAGAAGCCAGGATACGAACCTTAATTGGACATGTACCCCACACCTCGGTAATCCCACCACCGAATTCCTCTTTTGCCTGTTTGTCACCTGTGGATGCACTTGGTATGCGGCCCAGTCCTGAGTCCACTGCATGTATGCGTCGGTACACATTACATAATTCTTGTCTCCCTTCCGTCATGAAGGCGTAGCAACCACCGGGCTCTGCTAATTTAAGCAGCAAGGGGGTCCTCCTTTGGCGGTGACGCGTAATCCTCCTCTAGCACAAGGCACGCGGTGGCGGCTTCATCCCGTCCAACCAAATCCCGTGCTGGTCAGCAAATCCAGTGGATCGGCGTTCAGCCCGTTCCATAATCCAATGCAGGCAACCGCATCTCCCGTGCAGTCCGACTGGAACGTCACCAATGAATCGAGGGGGCCTCCTTTTGTGTGGCGGTGAAAATACGTGGCGTAACCCCCCTGCCTGCCTGCATTTGTGGCGGGGGCAGGACACCTCATTAATGATGTGGCTCATCGTTGTTGAATCATCATGCGCAATGCCATCGGGATGCTCAGCCCATAACCTGAGCAACCCCCTTCTTGAGCTCGTTGACGATCTCATGCGCCTCTTCGACCGATTTCGCCTCGAAATCGTAGCGCTTACTCTCCGTGTCCTTGTATATGAAGAGCTAGTAGATGATCTGTCAGCCTATGCCGTGATGCGGAATCCTGCTCGGCAACTTCTGTGCATGTACTCACTTTGAATTGGTTTGGATGTTTGCTCGAGACCTTGCATCCAATCACCTGAGAGATGTGCGCGGTCGTGGTCTTGGAGTCCCTCGTCGTTGGCTTGATGTGCACATACTCTCCATCAATCTCGAACCGCTTCTCAGACTGCGTAATCATTCGGACTGTACGCAGACGCCAAACCACCCACGACTTGTGGTACGCACTGGTGAACTCCGCCTGCTTGATGGCCTCCTGAGCCAACGGGTGGCTTCCCATGATGTGCGGCTTCTTGGCCTTACGTCCCGGCTGGCCATCCACAAAGGGAAGAAGCTTAGGCGAAGCACTGCTCGGCGACCCAGTCATGGCGAGTGGGCCGTCTGTAGCGAAGCGGCGCCGATGCAACTCTAGATCGGACAAGCTGCCGATTGCCGCGACCTTAGTGTCAAGCAAGATCACGGGCCCTCCGCCAGGCATCTTGAGAACGTGATTGGCCTTGTCCAGTTGTCTCTTACGACATACCATGTCAAGGACCTCGGCCATGTACGTTTCCGTTGTGGTGTCTAGCGTGACCAGCTGGCCGGGAGCCACATCGGTTGAGTGAAGATGCACACGCAGAAGCTTTTGTTGACCCCGACTCGTGTTGGGGGCCGCTGCCGGCGCCTGAGGTGCGTCGGCGAACATACTATGCTGTTGACGATAGGTAGTGTTTGTGACGGGGTTAGGGCGAGGCTCTGTGGCGACAGGCAGGAATGAGTTCAGGTTCGGCTGCGGCGTGTTGCGCGGCGTCAAGTCCTCGTCGGCTTCTTCAGTCACTTCCTCCTCCTCCTGCGGTGTGATGTTCTGGTTCTCGTTAAACTCGGACTGAGTTGCCTGGACGAGGCCAAAGTTGTCGTAAGTCTTGGAATTGGCACGCATTCTTCCAGCAGCTCGGTTGTTTGCCGTGGTGAACGATGTCAACGCCTTGTTCCGCTCAAACGGCGGGAAGTCGTCGTCAACCTCGCCATCCTCCTCGACCATCCGGAGGGTAAACCAGTTGATGTTGGCTTTATCCGCGGGGATGGGCGGCTGCCTTTTCTCCTCATTGTATCTCCAGAGAGCGAGACCGATGAGATCCGCCACTGTCACAGGTCGATCACCGCCTTCGCCATGATGTACCATACGCCGGATGGGAACCTCAAACGGTTTCGCGGGGTTATCGGAGAACGCGGGATAGATCCGAACGGCGATGGGATTGTTCTCGCCCTGGCCAGACAAGGCCGCAAAGCCTTCGAATGGCACCTTGGGCTTCGTTTTTCTTGCTTTGAGTGCAGCAGACAGCAGACTCTTGGGCTGGATCATGCTCATGGGCCGAATGGTGCTCATTGGACGAGGTGGCGGCAACGCCTGTAAGATTCGGGGCGGCGCTTGTGACTTGCGGATGGTAGAGGTTCTCGTGAACTCTCGAGGGGGCGTTCCGACAACTTGCTTGTGAGGCGGTGGCTCTGGGTTTTCGACAGCGTCCAGGATCGAGGCCGAATCGATGCTCTCGATGTAGGCACCGGACATGTCCGACCCATCGGAATCATCCTCCTCCTCTTCCGGCAGCAAGTCAGTACCAGCCCGCTTGATACCGAGACTTGGCTCCTCCATGATCTTAGCCTGGAGCTTCACAGACTTGGCCGCGGCTCTTGCAGCCTCTCTCTGCTTGTGGAACCCGGAGGCGTCAAACTCGTTCTCGGAAGATACTTCGCTGCTTGTGACCGTGTCTCTCCGTGCCCTCTCTTTGACAACCTCGAGTGCAGACTGGGAGCCTCGGCGGGCGCTGTGGCCTGCTCGAGGAGACATGGCTGGTGATTGCTTGATATGCGATGACTGAATAGGGCTGGAGCCGGCCCTCGATCGAACGGGCATCTTGGCGAATTTGATCTGCTGAGCCGCTCGCTGGCCTGCATCGTCATCGTCGCTCTCGTCGCTGAGATCACTACTATCATCGTCTTCGAGCGTTTCGCGACGTCTTCTTCTTCTTGTAGCCAGGCCTGGACCGAGGGTATCGGTGCCTCCACCGGTCAACATTCCAGCTTCATCCGGTTCGTCTTCAAGGGTTACTCCAGCCTGTCTCGGGGCTTGGAAATATTCCGAGGCAATCGCTGTTGGAATTGGAGGAGAGTAGCATCGTTTGACGAGGTCGGGATTCGCCTGCCAAGCAACCGCCTTGAAAGCCGACGAGTTCATGAACCCCTCATTGAGGGTAATCAGTCGCTCGCCGACTCCATCGGCGATTTCGGTAAGGTAGCCGCAGCGCAACTGGTATGCGACCAGCCTGATAAGCCGAGATCAGCAAGGCGTGTAAGCATCAGGGTATTCATTGCACCTACTCTTCATTCTGGATGACTGACATGGTGGGCAGGCGTGCTACCGGTCATCAGGGTCGGAAGGGACGTTCAATCGCAGATCATTCCAAAGGGTATCAGATCAAAGGAGCCGCGCCCACGATCTAAGAAAGAACATAACTGCGAGCACAGCTCGCCAGGTCGCAAAGGAAGATGATGTGCAAGGTTGGAAGAGGGAATCGCCGAGGGGTACCTACCAAATGCGTCGGTAACGACCTACCTCAGCCTTGTGAAACAGCAGTGTTAGGCAGATGGCTCGTGCGCTAGAATGACGCACGGTCCTAGACTAGCCTTGCAGATGGGTGCGTGTGGCGGTGCGTTCCTGAAGTTCAGCACGTTGTTGATCATGCAAGTCACTTGTTACATTTACCCCAACTTCATTCACAACTAGAATCTACAACCAGCAGCGACAATGGGCTTGGTAGACTACTCAGAATCGTCAGGGTCGGAGGACGAAGCGCCCGTCAAGCCAAACACCACGAAGCCCGCACCCACCACAGGAAAGAAGCCGTTCCAGAAAGTCGTCGACCGATCGAACCCAGGCAAGATTGTCGTCAGCCTGCCATCGTCGCAATCCGAAGACCCCAAACCCGCGAGCGACGAGCCACCAGCGAAGCGCGCACGCACTGGAAAGAGTGGTCTGTTCAGCGGCTTCAACTCCTTCCTTCCAGCGCCCAAGAACGCTGCAAAGGCTGCCCCGGCGCAAAGCAGCAGCAGCAACAGCAGCAGCTCGGCACGGCCAGTATTCCAGCTCAAGACTGGCGCTGAGCCCGGCTTCAGCAGAGAAAGGGGAGGTGGAGATGGCGAAGGATCTTCGGGGACGGGCGGCGGTGGTATGAGCCTGCCTGCCCCCAAGGCTCAGGCGCAACCGACGATACCTGAAGGGATGAAGCCGGCGGACGAGGTTAAGCTGGTGGGGAAGCCGATGATGTTCAAGCCTCTCTCCGTGGCCCGAAAACCGAAGAAGAAGACCCCAGCTTCGACACCCGCGACAGCGCCGAAGCCAACATCCACAGGAGACAGAGGGTCAGAAGCAAAAGATGCGCCTCCAGCAGCGCCGGCGCCAGCACCAGCGGCGAAGAAGGTCTCCCTCTTCTCCATAGAAGCCGACGACGCACCGTCAGACAGCGCGCCCGCCAGCGGCGCGTACGAGCCGCTCTTCGAGACGGAACAGCCGACGGACAACGGCTACGCAGACTACGCAGCGCAAGCCGGCTGGTCGGCCCCGACGACGGCCCCCGACCCTGCAAACTCGCTCGACACCATCGCCGACGACCTGAACCTCTCGGCCGCGGCGCGGCGCGAGCTCTTCGGTCGGCAAAAGGGCGGCGGCGCCCCGCAGACGGCCTCGCGGGTCATCAACTTCAACACGGACCAGGAGTACAAGCACAACGAGGAGCTCCGGGCCTCGGGCCAGCAGCAGATCCACAACCCCGTACGGGCCATCGCGCCGGGTAAGCACAACCTGCGGCAGCTCGTCAACCAGGTGCAGAACCAGCGTGAGGCGCTCGAGGACAGCTTCGCCAAGGGGAAGAGCAACCGGAAGGAGGCGTCGAGTCGGTACGGATGGTAGACACAAAGGCAAGATACCCAAATTGAATGAAGAATCGTTTCTTAATGTTTTTTCCTGGTATTGTACATGATGATGATGCTTGTGCATCGTACCGTCTAGGTATCCCCCAAAAACGTTGTACTCGTAAAGGTCATGACGCACACTGGAAGAAGAAAAAAAGCTATATTACACACAGAAGAATGTTCACCAAACCATTGCCAGTGTCCTTTGTAACCATGAACAAGAAGAATAAATGAAGAACTGCCGATGCCCAGGAAAAAAGCACGCTTAGCAAGTCATGACTGGCGCGGTGCGGCCGCTTCCAACCCCGCTAGGTCCCATGAGGAACCCCCACTCACCCCTGGTGATGGGCGAGATGTCGTCGTACCCGTTGGGCGTCATCGGGCCCGCCTGCTGCCTGTCGTCGTGCAGAACCTCGGCGATGGAGACGGGGCTCCAGACGGACACGGGCGGCTGACGCTCCGGCCGGGCGGTGAGGTCCTCCTCCTCGGAAACCTCTTCCTCTCCCTTGACCTCCCGTGGCGGTGACTGCGGCTTCGTATCAAAGTTGGTCTGCAGCTTCAGCACGGGGCCCTTTGGCGAGGGCGGCTTGGCGATGCGGATGGTATCCATGGCGGCGGCCATGGTGTCATCAAGCTCCCTCTCGAGCTCCCTGACGGTCCGCTCCACCTGCGCCGCGGAGCCGACGCCCTCGATGGCACCGATGCGGTCGGGCCCGCCGTAGGCCCTGCGGTACATCTTGTCGACGTCGTTCAGGGCGACGTCGGTGATGCTGAGCCAGTCGTAGGAGCGGAGCAGGTCGGACTTGAGGACCTTGCGGCCGGCGCGCGAGAGAACGAGTCTGCGGAGCTCGTCGACGGCGTCCTCGAGCCTCAGGGGCGCGTCGGTGCGGGAGTAACTGGAGAGGGCGGCCTTGAAGGTGTACAGGCGGTCCAGGGAGACGAGAGTAAGGCCCTCGGAGGCGAAGAGAACCTCATTTTGCACGATGGAGCGGCGGATGAGGTTGCTCGTCAGGCCGCATGCGGAACCGTCCACGACGGGCGGGAGCCATTCGGTTCTGGGACGAGTTAGTGTGGGGGGTCTCTCGACGATGTCGTGGGGTGCTGGAAGACGTACCCGATGCGGAACTTCTTCTCGGCGCGCTCAATGGTCTGCCGCAGCGTCCTCTCCTGTTTGTCGGTGAGCAGGTCGGCGTGGATGAGGCGGATGCCAAAGGGGTTGGGCAACATGGGGCCCGAGGCGTCGGTGATGGTGGAGCAAGCGGTGCTGGGCGTCATTGGCGGCGGCGAGAGGGGGATGCCCGGCGACAGGGGCCAGCGCAGCCTCGGGCCGTTGGTGTCCATGAGGAAGGAGGGCGTGAAGACCAAGGTCTCGGGGCCGGAGCTGGAGGCGACGCTGCCGGCGGAGGAGACGGAGCACTTTGAGGAGACGCTGGAGCCCGTGTTTGACCTGACGAGCTTCTTGAAGTTGAAGCGGGAGGCGGAGAAGGATGAGTTACTCGAGGCCGAGCCGGGTGGCGACATTGTTGGCGAGGAGAGGACTGAAGACGGCGAGGACGAAGGGAGCAGGGTGGGAAGTTGGTACTCGCGCCGGGCGACGACAAGGGTGACGTGGATGGACTTCCTGGCGAGGCGCTTGGAGGCATACTCCAAGGCTTCGTGGAGATGGGGCGGCAGGTTCTGTACGTCGAGGATAGAGGTGCCGGCCTCCAGAGGCGACGAAATGCGACTCTTGAGAGCCATTGTGCTCGTTCGGTAGTTTTGTTTCTTTCTTAGGTAGAATTGAAGTTCGGAGGGGGAACGTTTCCCGAGAAAAGGTTGTAAAAAGCTGTAATGGGTGACGCCAGGTCGTTGGAAAGTTACAAGAATACTAAAAGAACTGTAAAAATGAGACACTGAGCGCCAGGCTTCTGTTTGTGGGATGTCGATACCGGAATACTACTACTGCTGAACCTCTCAAGAAGCCCTGGGTGGAAGAAGGAGGGGGAGAGATGACGATGTTATATCGACGGGAAGAAGCACGAATACAAGGAAACCCAAAAAAGAATCTGAAACAAGAGGCATTCGTATGCAGGAACCCCTTGCCGGCCCCTCGTCATTAATATGACGATGCAACTCAAAACAGCCTTATGGGTATTTTCTTTCTTGGTGCTATCTTGGCTTGGGAGAGTCCAAAAGGGGAAAGCAGCTATCTACCGAGGACGGTGTGGGGGGAAATGCGAGAAAGAGAGAGACTTCGGATGTGACCCCACACCCGATGGCCCCGCAGGTACCTTACCTAGGTAGGCACAGTCGACGAGGGGTGTGGTGTGTGTGTGTGTGTGTGTGTACTCGACAGTGTACGTACCTTCCTACTGTACCCTGCATTAGAGGGAGGGGACCACTGCCAAAAGGACATGACGGACACGCAAGAGGATAAGAAAGGCCGGATAAAAAAAGGTTTGCCTGGCGTGCGGCGTTGGCGTGGCGTATCTGACAAGGGAAAAACTCTACTTCTAGGGATACGACCTTGCCCAAAAAAATGTGAAACCAGTCTCTATTAGATGGCATGTCGAGCGACGTGACGCATGGTGGCTCCGTCCTTTTCTTCGGTGGTGAACAGGCGACGAGCGGCGCGCGCGTGTGTGATTGCGCGGGCCTGGGTGGGCGGCGTCATGAGGACGGGATGGCCACGCGAGCTTTTGTTTCATGATCTACCTCGTTTTCTCGTCTTGAGTTTACTACCTACGTCGTACCTGGAGCGGACACCGAGGGAGGCGAAGGCGACGACGACGACAGCGATGAGTGGGCTCCAGGGAGAGACAGAGAGAGCGAGAGGACTCACTCGCTGAGGGATGTGGGAGAGTGAGTGCGAGGCGGTACGGGAAACGGCGTGGGAGGAAGGACCCGCCTGTCATCTATCTCAGCCTGTCATCAAACATCTCGCCAACGAAATCCATTAACGGCCAGCACCACGCTTGCGGTCTTGCGCCTGTACACCCCCCCCCCCCGGGCCCAAGGTGCCGAACGTCGACGACGGGCATCGGGTATATTGGTATAGCTGATGGGTCTTGGCTAAGCGAAGCATTGTCGCGAATGGACGGGCTGCGCAACGTACCATGGTACAGTAGCTTTCCCGCGGGAGCAGGCAAGATGGGGTTCTCTCCTATTTCCAGCTCAGAATCGCAGGCTACTGCACTCCCATCACACGGCCATCAGCATCTCCGTGTCTAAAAATTGAAGGATAAGCTTAGAACGGCGAGGAGAAAGCACGGGGTCTGCCACGACCTGCGATTCCCTCCCCCCGCCCTCCCATTCCGACCTAGATCTCACCTACCTAATGCCATCCATCACTCCGGGTTCTGCCCAAGGTCAATCTGCAAAGCAACACTTGGATACCAGGCTGGCCTCGCATCGTCCAATCGTAGATTTCCGCCAGCTCCTTTCCTCGCAGTAGCGCCATTCTGCCCGCCATCCCCTGCCCGCTGGGCGGCTACGCTGCTATTTTCAGTGACCGACCGACGACCGTCAGCCAGGTCAGACCAATCAGGCCTCGCAACGCGGCCGCGGGGATCTGCTTCGAGATCGCCGTGAACAGAGTGTGCCGAGCAAGGGTATCTCGTGCATGATGCGGGGCCCGCCGTTCTCGCCAGTGTCGCAAAAATAGATTGATGCCTGCTCCTGGCAAGCGGGCGTGACACCTATCAACGCCGGCAGAATGTCTCACCGCAAAGACAGACACGAAAAAAAGAGCAAAGGAGAGCCCGGGGAGGGAGGTCAAGGGTTGGGCCGCGCGCCGCGGTGGCGGTGACAGCGAACTCGCGGGAGTCGAGCCCGTCGACCCACGCAACCCTTTGATGGGCTCGACACCAAACAAAGAGAATCGTCCCTCGGGCTATCTTCCAACAAAGGTCTCCTCCTTCCTAAAGAGGCAGTCGACCAGAAGGATTCTCAGATCGGTGGGTCTTCTCTCCCAAAACAATGGAATGGCACAACAATTAAATCCCCATACCTACTCGGCGGAGCCTGCTACCATGTACATAGTAGTTCTCTCTTGCTCTCTCCGTCGCATGCCCGCTTCCTTGGCCGGGCCATCAGGAGGGGCCCTGGAGGAACCGACCGTTGTGCCGCGGTGAGTAAATTCAGCTAAGCCTGCGTTGCGGCCTGGCCCAATTTACCTGAAGGCTGGCCGTCACGGCTGTCACGGACGCTCAGTCCAGCGCTGGGGCCACGGGGAAAATGTCAGATGTGGAGCAAAGGTACACAATCTACCAGCTACCTTACTCCGACGGGCAGAAGCAGCAGCATAACCATCAATTTACCCAAGGAAGCTTTCCCACCAGATTCCCGTTCTGGGCGTCTCTTGCCCGTCTCGAGATGCCGCTCGAGATAGATTGCCCGCCCACTCCAGCCCGCAGCGTGTCGCAGGCCTTGGCGGCCGATTCGAAGGCGATCTGGGGAAAAAAGAGCCAAGAGGCCGCCGCGAGTCGCTTCAGCGGTCATCGCGATCCCAACGGCCAGGAAAAGGATGGAGAGTCAGGTGCGAGGGCAACTGGAAACGGTGCCAAGCAGCTTGGCAGGCCCTGTCGCAGCAACAATTGTCGAGCACAGCCATCAAACCATCGAGGCAGCCAACAAAGAGTTTAAGAAGCAACAAGGAGGGCGTTGAAGGAACGGTGCACGGGATTGGAGAACAAAGAAAAATGGTAACACAATGGGATCTTGAACAACATGATCTTGCTTGGCCTCGGCGGGTGACAAAAAGTAAACTTTTCTCAAATCCGTTGCAGAAGCCACATATCCTCGCCTTGGCTCCCATCCTCTTCCCCCGTTCCCCCCCCCCCTCTCTCTCTCTCTCGTTCCGCTCCGATAACTTCACGATCGCTCTCACCGCGAATCGGTGACTCTCAACTCTACCCCCCTTCTTGACTCGCTCTCGCTCTCACCAAAAGACCACAGCCTGCCCGTCGACCAACACACCAACACACACTTCCGGGTAAGGGAAGCGAGCTCCAAGATTTCGCCTCCATCCGAAGTTGTTATCCTGGCACGCCGCCCAGCCGTGTGGTACACCAGAATCCAGAAGCACGTCAACCCGCTCGTGCATCATGGGAATGCCAGCCAATGTTCGGGAACCCGAGGACATCGCGTCCGCTCACAGCCAGAGTCAATGTCCCCTCCTCCAGAAGAGCCTAGAATCCGAGCCTCATCCCAACAACAATCCTCTTGACGGCGACCACACGAAACCGTCAGACTGCGAGACTACCCAGCCGTCAAAACCTGCTTTCTTCTCTTCCTCTCCTCACGGGCTCCCGCTCCGTCGTCCCATCACCAACCGCCAGACTGCGTCATAGAGCCACGCCGCTCATCGCCCTTCCCCTCTCGTCTTCTACCCCTCACGAACATCACCAGATTTCATGTTTCGCCACGTGCCGAGAAGTCTCCTCCATCGTTGGTTCGGCCGATAATCATCACCACCACCCTCGGAAGAGCCGGCCAGAATTGATCCACGGCATCACGAGGAACAAACACAACTGCTAGACCGAGAACACACACGAGAAACTTCCTCGTTGCCGGCGGACCCGTCGAGTGCTGACCCATGCCCCCCCCGCGTCTCGGAGCCAGATAGTTCACCGTACCCCGAAAGACAGAACCCTCTCCAGTCTCTGACCAAGTATGGAAAGACGTCAGTTGTCACCCATAACCGCAACTTCAGATGAAGAAGAGCTGCCATCCACCACCGTGACACCACCACCACCACCACCACCACCACCACCGCGTAACCGCAAACTGTGGCCCCAGCGAGTCCCACCCATTGCATCATATCCCAGCCGGCACTTGAGACTGCCCACCACCGTGACCTCATGCTCCCCGGAATACTGCTTTTACTCGCCCTCCGGCCATTGCTTTTTCCCTGGGCCTCGACCTTTTGCGCCGCACAAGCCACGACCGAGGGACCTCCGTCCGGTGTCCCCCTCCGACGCCCAGCCGCATGTGCTCTCGTCGACATAGATTTTCCCACGGTTCTATTTTTCACTTCGTGCCCCCCGCGCGGGGAATCCAATCCGAGATGATGTAGAAAAGACAAGAATGTAAGCGCACCGTCGACGCGGCCAATCACCTCCCCAAAACACGCCCCCCCCCCCGGCCTCCCCAAAAACGAACCCGGATTTGCGCATACGATCTACGCCCAGAAACCAAACAGATCCTCGCTCTCTAAATCGAGTTCCCCCTCTCCCGACACCAAGCTGAAGGCGGATCCGCACGTGTGATGTATGCTGGCTGGTATAAGTAGGTAGTCGCCAGGGGGGGGTGCTTCTCAGGTACCCACTCGGATGGCACCCTAGCGGACCAATAGAATCCCACCAGCACTTTCATATTGTGCAGTATTTCAACAACAACCCCCTCACAGCTCGGCGGTTAGCAAACGACGGAACACCACCACCACAAGCACAACGTCTCTCTATCCAATCTCCTTTTCTCAGTCATCGTATTGCTTTTAACCCCCATCGGAGCCGCCCAAACAGACCTAATATTGGATCTGTCCGTGTCGACACTCCGCCCAACGTCATATTTCTTTATCCACTTGTACCCTCACCAAGGTAGTCAAGCCGCCAAAGGGCCTGGCATGGCAACTTTCATGCTCGCCAGTGGGCTTTCACTCAGCCGATGCTTTCAAAGCTGCGCCAAAAATAGTTTTTAATACAGCTCCCATCTTCCTAACTAGACCCACCGCGAGAGCATCGCTCTCACAGGCTTGGTCCTGCATGTAAGAGAGATTCCACACTCCATCACACACACCCCTTGACGCAATCTCAACTCAGAGTCGTGCGTCCAATAAAGGTCTTGTCAAAGCCGTGTGTGACATATCATCCACCATGCCCCTTGACGGTCAAGGCCAAGAGCAAGCTGGCCGGAAACTGAACCGTTGTATTCCACCCGCCTGGCCGTCGCTGTTCTTCGTCCAGCCCCATGAAAACTTTTACCCACCCCTGGGTCCGTAAACGCCAACACGCCATTAAAATGCAAGAAGCCCTCTCCACCCTGTATAGCGCTTTGTGCTGCCAATCCCAGAACTCGTCCCAAATGAGACTCCTCATCTCCTAGACTCCTTGCGTGGCCGGACTGTTTCCGACCATGTCGCACAACAGAAACGTCTTCAAGTAATGTCGTAGTCATTCAATTCATCAAAGGGATGTGTTGGCTTCATCACTGGAGATCCGACTCTGGCAGATCTCCAGCCGCCTGCATGCTAATATCTGCAAGGCTCTCCAGCTGTTCAGAGGATCCGCATGAGTTCTCCCAGTCTTGACCGCCGTTCCAGTCAGCCATCATGGTTCTGAACCGATGGTGTCCGTGTCACTGTAGAGTCCTGGGGACATACCGGAACCCTCATCCTCCAATTCTTCCACTGTCATGCGTCGCAGCGGATCAATGACAGCTAGATCGCGTGTTAGCAGTGGCCCAGCCAAGGATTGGTTTATGACTTACAGCGATAGAGCTCTTGGAAGTCTTCGTACGAGATAATTCCCATCCCATTGAGTCCCACGCCATTCGTGAAGAAGGGTTCGCACTTGGCAACAATGGCTAGCAGGGGCTCTGTGGACTGCTTGGCCACTTGGGCGCGCCTCTGCACAAAGTGCTCTCGAAGATAGATGAGGCAGTTCATCGCAAGTCTCCGAGCCACCGAGTTCAAGACTGTTGCTATCCTCTCGTCATCGTCTTCGACCGCTTCGTGATTTGCAAACCACAAGTACAAGAACTCTTCCGCTCCGCGCCGCACCTCTGCGTCGTAGTAGCCCAGCAGCGTGGGTGCCCACACGGGAACGTGCTCCATATACAGAGGGTATCGAGCGGCCCTGACCTCCTCGCGTTCGTTCTGCAGGCTAACGTAGGCTAGCCGGAAGAAATCCAGGAAGGCCTTGCCGTCCGTGTTCTGCAGGGTTCTGCACTGGAAGGCAATGTGCCGGAACAGGGCCTGAACGCAGGCTGCATTGCTGCTTTCCTCAGAGAACAGTACAGCGGCTCTGATGTAGGGCGTCATCGAATACTGGACCACTTGGCCTGTAATCATACTCTTAATAGCCATGAATACTTTTTGGTCCATGTCGGGGTTCAAATGAATGATCCGCTTGATGATTGACGCTGTGAAGGCGGGCTCCTGGTCAAGGTCGATCAACTTCTTGACGAAAGTGCTCCCCGTTCCTTTGTTCCATTCGTGGGCAAGAACATTCACTTCGTCGGGCGTCCAAGACATCTTGGGCGCTTGGTGCTCCATGTAGATCTCCAAGCGCATCTCGTGGTTTTCCACGATGGTGTGAACGTCAATAACGTCCTCCAGGGCGTCCATAAAGTGGTCAATGAGCTGAATAATCATCTCGTACGAAGTCGACCGCGTGTTGTTGATGCGGCGTATGACGTTGGTCAACATTCGGGCATAGTTATTGGGAAGGTCCATATTGGTATCAGCGAAGACGATGCGCAAGACCCTAAAGAACCAGTCTTCCGACATGAGTACAGCCATCTCTAACGGGCCCATCTGTGCGAAGGCCAGAATGGTTTGGAAAACTTCGGGCCACGACCGGATATTAGCGTGGAAGTTGCTCCAAAGTGTGTCGAACATCTGAACAACTTGCATCATGACAGGATCTTCGACCATGTCTGCCTGGGACAACCCCCAGACCTCGGGCTTGAAGGTCTTGATCTGCCGCAAGGCTGTGATGAATAGACTTCCAATCGTGTATCTGACATTGCAATCAGGGTTTCTCTGAATAAGTTGCCGGAATGCCTCGTGCCTCTCTTGAAAGTAATCGAAGAAGTCCACGGCGCACTTAGCACAGTTGACGACAGCATGCTCGATCTCGTCTCGAAATAGCTCGAAATAGGGGAGGTCTTTGGTTCGGGAGGCAACCTGGTCGAGGTGACCGAGAAGCATATACATAGCCCGTTGCTCAATGATGTGCATGCTCGAACATTCGCCGCCATTGCGCATCTTTGCGTTCTGGAACATGCGGAGCACGAACTTTAAGTGGCTTGGATCGTAAAGGCAATGCCGTCGGAGTAGGACGGCGTTCTCGCCGTTGATGTGGTCGGCGACCTCGGCGGGAACATCGACCTTCAACGGAGTAGTCAGCGAAAGACCCTGTAACTTCTCCTGCTCTGCTCTCAAGACGGAGGATCGTTGGTAGAAAAGCATGTATGCGCTGTAAGTCTTGTCGTAGGCGATCCCGGTCTCCACAGACCCATCCGTGCCGCCGAAAGTCGACTCTTCCATTTTTGCTGGGTCCCACGGTGAAACGACGTCGTCATTGAACTCGAACCATGTCTCCGAGGAAGCCGTGGTCGGTCGCTCCCGGATATACGAATAGTAGTGGCCAGATTCTGCCGTGCCTGCGTGAACAAGGACGCCAACCAGCTCGAAGATGTCCTCCTCACCAGAGTCTGAAGGAGATCCGAGATGGTCAATGGTGTATGGGCGCATGTCGATCTTTGTGGGGAATGAGAAGTGGTCATTGATCTTGCTTCGCATCAAAGTCCGGAGATTGAAATCGAACCGTTTGAGATGGAAGATCAGGTTGTCCGGAATATCCTTCAAGCAAGCTCTTTTGACTGCGTCCACGTGTCGGTCGCAGCTCGAACACTTGTACTTGTTGTCCCCTTCCATGATTTCACCATCGACGTAAGCCTGGAGACTATCCTGAAGAGTGCTTTTGCCCTTGATGTCGCACTGAATGGCCGAGAATGGCTCAAGACGCTCGGAAATATGCTCGCATTCCTTGGAAGCAACTTGCTGGACAAGTTGGCCACCATAAAAGGACCTCAGGGCTTTTCTGTCATCGGCCGTGGAGAGCTGTCCTTCCCAGCGATCAAAAAGCAGGTTGTAGAATTCGTCAACGTCCATCTGGTTGTGCACATCAATGATTGTCTCCTCGTACGTCTTGATCGAACCGACCAGCAAGCTGGGATCGATGAATTTTCGGGAGCTTTCTTGCATGAATGCAAATAGCTTTCGAGTTTCTCTGAGCAGCGCATGCGTGTTGGCCTGGCTTGGAACGCGAGCGTTCATCATGAATTTGCGGAACCCTGTGTTCATAAAGAGCTGGGTGAACAGCGAATTGAGGTAGCAGGTGTTTGACAGATTACGAAGCCCTGCATATCCGCAGGGCGCCCTCACGGCAGACATTCGATCGAATTGAGGCTGCAGTTCGTAAAGGTACGGGTCTTTCTCATCGCGTAAGCTGTTTTGCCAAGTAGTGGCAGATTCGGAGGGCATACCAATATCAAACTCATCGAAAGGCACTAGTCTTTCGAGGTCCTCGAGCATAGCGTGGAACTCGCGATCCCGGTCCCTGACTAAGTCAAAGATGATTTCGCAGAGAACCGATCTGGTTTCAGTCGACAGGAGACAAGATCGACTTGAACTCAAGCCATGCTGTCCAGGAGGGGGAAACAAATGCCTCCAAAAGAGCTTTTTCCCAAGGTTTCTGTGACGAGTCAGAGTTGCCTGCTTCAGTAGTTTTGGTCTCTGGCTAACTTACGCTGGAAGGTTGTTCTCCATATCCACATCGGATCCCTCATTCAAACAACTTTGGAGGAGCTTCACTAGGCCCTCGGCCACGGCGTCGTCACTACCAACATGGCCAAGTTGCTTGATTTGGTTAGCAGAGGGGCTCTGGCAGAATAAGGCAGTGCTACTCACCTCCGATGATTCGTGCTCGAGAAGCAGCCTGCCACAGTCGCTTGCCAAAGCAGGGATGTCGACAACGGTGGCATCCTCGAAAGCCATTTCGCGCAGAAGCGCCAGGGACAGCCCAAATACTTGTTTACATTGCTTCGGAGACATTGCCGCCCTCGGGATCAGCCGGTGCAGTATCGGCCAGAGGAAGTCGCAGAATGAGACGGTGTTCGACGTAGACCTATTGGTTACGTCAGACAGTGGCAAACGGCTGTCAGTCAGATGTACATACTCATCAGGAGAGATGACCCTTTCCTCTAGAAGTTTGGCGACATTTGCACGGATCGCCTCGGAGGGTTCATCCAGAAGCAAAACTCCCAATAGCTCCTCAAGACTCGGCACATCTTTCAATGAAGCCCAGAAAGCAGTGTCGACAGATGCACTTCGAAGGACTGCGGAGAACGTCGATGCAATCAGGGGAATGAGGCTAGTGTGTCCTTGTGTCGTGATCGCTGACCAGAGTATTTCAACGAGGCGATCTGCAGGTGCTATGGCCACGGCGTTGGGCAGAACGTCAACTCCGTCGAGATCAGGGTCTGTGATCGTGTCAGAAAGCTCACAATCAAGAAGCTGGCAAATCTTACCTCGAAAAGTCAGTCCATAAACGTTCATCAAGTTGAACGTTAAGCGGTTCTTCAGAGCTTCTGAGCCACAGCCGTCGAGAATCTCACGATCAGAGATCGCCGCCACGACCAAGGTCCTCACCCGAGCCAGCGCTTCGAGGTACGCCCTAATCTTGCTATCGCCTGCATCGGATATGGACGACTCCGACTCCTTCAGCCGTCGACCAGCTGTACCGATATACTCCGTCATAGCGTAGAGCGCATACAGCGACTTGAAAGGCTGTCCAGAAGGGAAGATCTGCTGGTACGAGGTTCCTGATGAGTCGAAGGCAGCTAGCATGTGGGTATCGGCGGGTAATTTGGTAAGGAATGAATGAATCTGTGACCGCGTCAGCTCGCTAGCACTTCATGCGGGGTGTCAAGATGCATACCTCTGCGGCAATGGCCTCCTGCATACTCAAGTAGTTCCACAGTTGCTCGAAGTGACCCAGGATTTCGATTTCCAACAGGGAGGCGCCTGGCTTGATCCTAGATGCCATGGCTGTCCCAGTCTCTTCCCGTTTGACAAGGATCAGGCCGTCGTGGATTTTTAATTCTTCGAGAGAACGACATACATCGCTTTCGTTGGGGGCGAAGGGGTGGCCGCGATAGTATATTCGATAGTTGTCGAAGCCAGTTGCTTGGCGGATGCTTGCCAGCAGCGATGCAGCGGTGTTCTGTCTTCCAACCTCGAGGGGCATGATATCCGTCTGCATATTGCCATCAAAAGACTGAAACTTGAGCTCAGCAGGCTCACCTTCGGCCACGCTTGGCGAGCCAGGCGTCAGAGCACGGAGGTCGGGTGCAGAGAAATGAGCCTTGGCCTGGTGCGCATTCAAAAAGTGCCGGAGAACAGCAAGGGATCGTGTGAAAATGCGTTCCTGTTCCAGTGTCTGTTCCTCGGTTGCCACAATAACCATGGGCTCATCGTCACCACTCCGGGTGCCGTCGCTGAAAGCCTCCAGCCGGTTTGCAGCGTCTTCCATCTGCTTGAGGCAGCGAGCCACAAGCCCCAAGTGAACTTGGCAAGCCCTGTGATGCGGATACGCCAAGATGGATTCACTATCGATGTAAATGTCGCCCACGAGCGTCTGGATTGCGGCATCCACGAGGGCCATATCCTTGGCCACGATCGTGGCATCTTCGGCATCAAGAATCATACGCCAGAGTTGCTCGACCCCACTCTGCGCAAGGCTTTCACCGTCATCCAAGATGATGTCGTTAATGTCATTCACGCGAGGGAGCACCGCGTTTCTGACAAACTCCAAAGCACCTCCGCAGAGGCAGTCACGAGCAAGACTAGGCAAATACTCGCTGAAGCAAACCGAAAGGAACGGGTTTCCATGAGCCGTCTTTGGGCTGGTGGCGTTGAAAATTTTCCAGCCGTCGTCCCGATCGTCCTGGCATGCGGCGCCATGACCAACAAGCATGTCCCATAAGCGTGGTCCAAGGTCGGAGGTGATCGTGGAGGGCTCGTAAACCAGGATGTTGGCAATGAGGTCTCTGCGAGGATGGTTGACGGTTCCGCCAATGATCCTTCGGATGCCGGCTTGTTTGCCTTGCTCGATCGCATGTTCGAGCTCATCCACTAGTAACAGAGTCAGGTTGTGTTCTGTCGTCAACACGCGTAACTCCGAAGCCACGGCAGGTCGCAAGGCCACCGAAAGGCATGATAGGGTGCCCAACGTCGTGGGTGTTTTGGAGGCTATGTCCTTGATGCAATCGTGATAGATTTCCTTGCGGATTTCGGGCTCAATACCGTCTCTCACGAGCTCTCTCAGCTTGTTCAAAGCAAAATGGTGAACGTCGGGGTGAGCAACAGCCGAGTCCGAGACGTATATGGAAGACTCGCGCAGAAGCCGGATGCAGATGCTCAATGGTAAAACACTCTGCGTCTCCCCCGCGAGCTGAATCTTAGTCTGAAGCGCTCTGAGACTGTTTTCGCAAAGGCCTCGCACGGGTGGAGTGAAGTTGTCGATTGGTAAGGTTTGTAGCTTTTTGCACAAGTAGAGCAACTCCTCTTTGTAGAACAGATTGACGATACTCGTTGTCATGCGAATCAAGGCTTCCGACACCCGCGGATCCTGTGTAGTCGTGATCGTCTGCCAGAGCAAGTCTGTTTGCTCGCTGCGGTAGAAGCGCGTGACCACCAAGAAGCCCACGATGTTGCCGCTCTCGACGGTGATTTCGGGATGACAAGTTGGTCCCAGGATGTAGTCGACCAGCTTGGTTCGAAGGAGGTATTCAGCCACGTAGTTCAAAAAGAGCTTGCAGTCCTCGTCCTCGTTATCATTGTATCTTTTCCAGCAGGTGACCAGATCATGACACATAGTAGAAGCCGCCATTACACGCAGTTGCATTTGGCTTGACGTAATCAGTTTCCCGAACACGCCCAATCGCCATTCCGATGAGATGGCCTCCGGCGTAAACCGATGCGGCAGGTCGGGGTGCGCTTGCCGATGTGCTTTGAGCCGCTCTGCAGCCAGCCTATGATCACCACCCAAAGAGATTTTAAGGATGTCCGACAAGGAAGTGACAAGACTCTGTGTCATTTCGTTCGAGAGCTGGGTCACCTTGTTTTCAATCGTCCTGTGCAATGCATTCGAAGCCAGGTTGTAAAGCAGATGACCATCCGCCAAGCGACCTTTTGCAATTTCCAGGCTCTGAGGAGAAGCATCAGGGTGAACGCCTTGAATGGTCTTTTGCAGAATGAGGGCCGCAACGTTGCAGATGGGTGAAAGCACATCCATCAGATGCTGGTACCTCGGCGCGTTGCTAACGTGCATTTGGACGAGCTTGATCAATCCCTTGATGCTGCCAATTCCCGACTGAAACGTGTTCATCATCTCCGTACTAAGCATCTCTTCTTCATGCATTTGACCGTTCTGAATCCGGTTGTGTTCTCTCCTTGCGAAGGATGTTAGTGGTTGTAGAAACCGGTAAAGAAGAAACTCTGGTTGTCGGCGCTCGTCGTCTGGAGATGTATGGAATGCCTGAGCAGTCAGAAGATCGAACTCAACAAAGTGAGCCGCCATTCTGGAGTATGCGATGAAGAAGTCGGCGACGATCTGCCGGCTTTCCGGCGAGACCGGTTGTCTGGGAGTGCAGCGTAAGTAGATGGGAGTTTTAGGGAATGAGCTATATACTCACTTTCTATTACACAGTACCCAAGCAATTTCTGGGAACATATGCCAGAATGTATGATAAGCCACTTGAGACTCATACGCGGCTCTCGTTCCGACGATGCCGACGTATTTCGTGTATTGGACTGTCCAGGAACGCAGAGACTCCAGCACAGCCTCCTCTGGTGGTGCTTCTGTATCTAGTTAAGACCTCGCTACATTGCTCCTAGTGATCAAGTTCAGACTTACGAGAAGAGAGGTAGTTGACCAGCTTGCTAACCGTCTCTGGCAGCGACTCGTGGGCATCATGGTATGGGAATTCGGGGGTTGGATCGAAGGATGCGGCATCCTCGCGGATAATGCTGACCTCCTCGTCGAACGGGGCATCCTGGTCGTCGTCGGGTATGGCAACTACTTCCACCTCGGGGCTCTGTGGGCTTGAAGAGGAAGAAGGCGGGGTGTCCGTGATCTCGATGGGAGCTTGCGCCATGTCGACTTCCTCCAAGTCTTCCACACTCTTCTTAACACCATCTGAAGGTTCGGTCGGCCGGTCCGGCAACGTCTGCGGCGTCGGGGAAACAGGGGATGAGGAGAGGGGGTCGGGCTGGGCGGTGTTGCGCAGGTTTATCGTGACCCGACTAGAGGAAGGCTCGGTCGGGGGCTCTTGTGCAGTCGACTGGGGCTCTGGCGTCTGCGGGGTGGAAGGACCAGTGTCTATCTTCATGGCAGAGTCTTGTGTGGCAGCGTCGTCGGCGTGTTGTGCGTTGGAGGAGCTTGAAGTGTCGCGATCCGACTTTGTGGTCTCGACAGAGAGGCTCCGGGAGCCTCCAGACATCGAGGTTCGGCGCCGTTTCCTAGAAGAATCGTCGCCTTCAGTAAAAGGGTTCGGTCTCGTTGAGCTGGGCTCTGAGGAGACCGCGCGTTCTGCTTCCGAGGATCCTGTAGGCTGGTCCATCTGGCTGGTGCAATGAGGTGTTGCAACGCGGGTCCTGGAGCTCCAGAGACGTCACTCGGGCGCGAGAGACGACTCGGCAGCAGCTGGCCAAAATTAGCATGTGGTTTTTTTTTTTCTTTTGGCCTGTAGTGATGATCGAAGCCGATGAGGAAGTACGTGTAGGCAGCGATGATGTGAATTTTTAACGGGCGACAAGGCTTCACAGCAGCTCCGTCCCTCGAAGAAGAAGAAGAAGGGAGGGCAGAAAAAAGATTCAGAGGTCGGCGCTAGGATGTCGAGGTAACGGTGACGATAGCGAGGTGCAGGCTGAGGTCCAACGAAGCAGAGGAAAGGCGTGTCGAAGGTGGGCTTTTTTGGGGGAAGCAGGGGTCGCACGTCGGTCTTTTCGGTGCTGGTAGGAGACGCGGTGCAGTGCGGGCGCAGACGTGAACGACGTGAATCCACTAGAGCTGGGAGCTGTAGTTCGGAGGGGGAGGGGGCGGATGGATGCTCGTCTGTTTTGGAGACGGGCTGATGGGGAGAGGGATGATGAGGTAATACCTTGAGGGGACGGAAAGACGGGAATGAGTACCTCTGGATGCTTGGTTTGGTGTGCGTGCGCAGGTGCAAGGCTCAGGTACGAGATGTACCTTTTCTTGGTGGTGGTAATGGCGGGAGGTAGAGATGGGCGAGGGAGCTCTGAGCTTACCTTACCTTAGCTTATCAGCGCGTTGCTAAGGTGGAAAGGCCCGGGCGCGCAAATGGCTGTCCATAAAAGAAGATAAAAAAAAAAGGTCTGGAAGAAAGGTCAGATTACTGCTGGGGTATTTCTTCTTAATGAAAGCACGCCATTCCATCCCTCAAGAGAGAAAAGGGTTACTACACCTTTCTGACACTCCGACTCGGGGACAGCTTCCGTTGGCAAGTGGTTGATGCTGCCAGAAGCTTGTGGACGACAAGGCGCGCTTGAGCTGATGGGTGCGGGGTGACGGTGCCGTGCGAAGTTCGATGTGGTGTGGCTCAAGAGGGTGAACACAGTCGGGAAGGCACCGAAGGTGGGGACGGGGGCCTGGGCGACAGAGCAAATCGAGGCAGGCAAGGTACCTGCAGGTAAAGTGAGAGGTTGAAGAAGGAAGGCGCGTCGCATTCACACGACGCCAAAAAAAAGAAATGGAAGACCGGTAGCCCTGTATGAGTCTGAATTACGTCAGTTTTCTCGATTCGTTCCTCAATCGCTCCTTCGACCCGTTGGTGTTGTTCTCGCTACAGGGCGCCCAGCTTTGCTGATGAGGTAATGCCGGGACGGTCGACGGACTTGTAGAAGCTAAGTGGTCAGATAAGGTGCTTGCAGAGACTGAATGGAGCAGGCTGCACAAACGGCCTGCGACAAGGAGCTGTCGGCCCTTGGATTCTTGCTTGATGTGCACAAAGAAAGAAAGAGACGTGTTTGGTTTCCTTCTCCGTAGGGATGCCGGTTTTCTTTGGTGAGATGCGCGGCTCTGGTTCGCACTCTGGGGAAGAAACGGGCAGATGACAAGCAGCTGTCTTGCACCGCTGCCTAGGTGCCAAAGAATCTGGCAAGTATGCTGGGGTGGCTTGTCCCTTCAAGGTGGTGGTGTGCTTGCGCTCGAGGCCGTGGTTGGCCAACGAGGGGGATGCTAGATACGGGCCGCAAAACACCTCTTGGACTTGGTCTTGGTTTTCGTGACCAGGGCCAACCCAAAGTAAAAACCGTGGCTCGGGGATTTCCAGCTACGACTTGTGCCAATCTGGCATGCCACTAGACAGCAAAGCAACCCGGAAGTCAACGGTGTCGCATATTGCTAGCGTTTGGTGAGGGCGCAATAGTACCTTGGACTTTCCGAATGGGACACGGCCCCGGGTAATGCGAGTAGGCAGCAATCCAGAAAGGGAATACGCGATGTCCCCTGCCATTAGGGACGCCTGTCCGACCCCGTCCTCTTCCTGCCCACTCCGAGTGCCTTGTGCAACCTACGTGGTAGTGTCAAAGGCCGGTAGCAGCCCCTCGAACTCTCGTTTTTTACCTCTCTCATTCTCGGGATTTGGAAGGTCTTTGATCTGTACTATGTAGTTGTCCAAATGACACTTCGGAGCTACTTAATGCAAGATGATACCCCCACCAACAGCGTCCCTTCCGTCGATACTCAACGTAGCACTCGGCCTCTCGGCGCCCCTTGCTCGACCCGGCTCTCATCCCGTAGCTGTCCGTGCCCCCCGGAGAGCCTTACTACGTAGAGCTCATGCGGGGCCGGTATCCTCTGTGGCCCTTGTCCCTGCTGCGTACCTCAACAACCTCAACGCTCATGTGTTTGTGTCTGCCCCGAGCTGACGTCAAGCGGACACATAGAACCTCGGGAAGGTTGTTTGGTGATCAATGACGTTCCATTGGAAATATCACCTCGTCTCGTGAAACCATCTACTCTTTTGCATCCTCATCATGTTGTGGAAATCCGGTGTTGACCTCAAGCTTCATGTCTGTTCGTCTCGTTTTTCTCCGATAGTCTCTCATGTGGCGCTAGTGCCACCCGTCCACCTCGCTTATCGGGTTGCCGGCCGCTAAGACCAATTGGCCCAATCCGTAATTTCTGACTGATGAATTTTACTTTTGTCTTTATTTCGTCCAGGACTCACACATGCCAGCGTTGTACCCAGGACTGCAATTACCTAACCAACTCCAACTTTGACATCTTCGGCAGCCATTCTTATGGATCAGTAAAGTTGGCACCTGCTCGCAAGGACGACCAAGAGTTCGCTATAGGCTCTGCAACATCAACACCCATTACGACTAGTCTCTTGCTGGATAGGCTTTGAAACCAATCAGGTCACCTGCTTGGCTTGCCGCTTGAAGAGCACACAGGCATTCCTTGTGTTTCTATCTTTTAACTTTCAGACTGCCCACATCATGACCGCACAACTACGGAAGAAGCTGGTGTATTCGGTCGACACGCCTTTTTCAGCAACACAATGGTATGACGTTTCGACCTAACCGTGTCTTCGTGCTCGCTCGTGCTAACGGACGACAGGCCAGAGATAGCTCCTGAAGATCAAGACGCGATATTAGAACTACTCTGCAGGTATGTCTTGAACTTTCCCGTTCCACTTCCTTTCGACAAGGTCGCTTTCTCGCGATGACCTCTGAGCTTGCTAACAAGAAACCCAGTCTTTTGTCTCCCCTAGGCCAACACCGCCAGAGGCATATCAAGCCCTCAGAAGGCAAGCGAGCAGCCAAGAGGAAGAGAAAAGAAGAGGGCATAGTATCAAAGGAACCGGCCAAGAGCGGACGCCCACCTATGCCGGAGCTTGCCTCCTTCGTTGACGTTGGTCTGATGAGCATCACTCGCAACCTAGAAAAGCTTGCAACAGGACAGCAAAGCTCGGGGGAGATCTCCAGCGACAACACTACGGCGAGCTCACCTACTCCGTACTCTATTATCTTTGTCGCTCGCTCGGGGCAGTCGTCCGCCTTCAATTGTCAACTCCCCCAAATGGTTGCCGTTGCCTCCAAAGGCTCACCATCTACCCCTACAACTCGGCTTGTGGGCTACTCGAAGCCATGCGCCGAGAAACTCAGCGCTTGTCTCGGTATCCCAAGGGTCTCATCGGTTGGTATCCGGGTTGATGCTCCCATGTCCAGGGCTCTGGTTGAATACGTCCAGCAGCACGTTTCGCCCGTCAGAGTGGCTTGGCTCGAGGAGGCCAAGGAAGCCGTGTATCGTCCTACGCAATTGAAGATAGACGAGAAGATGGTGCCGGCGAAGAAGAGCGGCAAGACTTGATTTTGACCATCGTCATCGCTGTTCGTCGGGGCAAGATAGGCGACAACTTCTGGGCTGGCTTCAATCCCTTGCAGAGGATAGAAGAATGTCATATACCCCCAAGCTATAGGTTTGTGAGAAGCACCGCGTGAGGAAGGTGTCCATTTACCTGCTATCTGATTCAGATTAACGTAGAGGGCTCTATGGCTGGTCCTTCTTTGTAGCCATCGCCGACTTGTTGCATCCTTTCCTCTTTGCCTTGTGTGCCTGTTACACAAATCCCTTGTCTTGAGTGTACCAATTACCTAACACGCAATGTTGACGAGAGGCTCTCCGAGCAGTTCTACGTCATGCTGGTAATTGTCACAACACGTCAACACGACATTTTTATCACATCCTTCCACTTGACAACCCCCTGTTTTCCGGTTCAAATGAGCTCATTCTCACATCTCCAAACCCTACAATAACTTGTCTTCCCCTTCACACCCGCATGCCCGCTCGCACTTGTCGCTAATAGCCTACTTGTTAAGCGCATCAAGCTGTTACAGACAATCCCGTAGGAAGGAACATGGACGGTGTTACTTTGCTCTTTCCTGCCATCCTTCGACCCTCTTCCAAAATCTCGCATTAGGCAAACCATTGCGGATGCTCCTTCCTGGTTACTTGATCACCGTATCAGTTACCCGGGGAACAAGCCGGCTCTGCTACTCAAGCCGGCTTAGATTTGACCATTTGCTTACACTTGTCTCGGTGCTTTCCCAGTTGCTTTCCTCTATATTTACTCGATTTTCTTTCACTCGAGTTTCCTCCTGTAGCATGTTCTTCTTTTTAATCCATCTTTTCTTCAACCATCACTTCTTCTCTCTTCAAGACCACCAGAGAACGAACTCTTTCACAGTTTCCACACTTCCTCCAAGCATCTGAGGCAATTCTTCTAGAATTCTTGACGTCCTTCCACAGCTCTTTCTAGAGTTTTCATCAGAGATTGAGAAAGTCGTAAGTTGCGTCCTCTGCTGCGCAATCTGCCAGCTCAATACTTCCTGCTTCCCCATGTGTCTCAAGCATTGTTTGTTCCTTCTTTGCATCATCACTACTGCCCATCACCTCAAATCTCCCACATACCACCCCAAGTGATCAGTTCTTCAAGTATTGAGAAACTTGACTCTCCTAGATCATCCTATAATATTCGGAGCTAACTCATTCGGTGTGGAAAATAGCGGACTAATCCAGGCACACGAGACACAACCGCCGTCCTTCCAATCCAGGTCTTCAACATGGACAAAGATGCGCAGATGGAAGCGGCTAGACTTCTGGCACTGGAGTTCAAGTCTGGAAGCAATTCCCGACGTGGCGACGGTGCTCGAGGCGGCAGCAGAGGAGCGAGAGGCGGACGTGGTACCCGCGGTGTTGGTTTAGGACGGGTTATGGACACCCCTCGATCCGTGTTTCCTCATAGCCCAACAGGTAAGTCATCTTCCAAGATATATATTGCTCTCTGCTGATCCTGTCAGGCCGTCCCATTTCGACGACTTCTCGCCCGGTGCTCGCTGTGGGAAACGTTAACAGGGCCCCTACTCAGATCAACCCAGCCCTTGCTGGCTGGCTTAGTGGTCAGAAGACAGATCACAATACAACTAACGAGACTACTACCCCAACTCCAATCGATCCCAAGCTTTCAAGCTGGCTCACGCACAACAGCCAGTCTCAGCCTCCTTCAGCCAGTTCATCACCCATTTCCAATGCAACTGTTGGCCTCGGAGGTTCTTCCGCATCGGCTTCAACTCGGGGCGCCGCTACTGCCATCCAGTCTAATGCGGTTTCCCAAAGTCAAACTCTCACAGAGCCGGTTCGTGTGATGGCTCAGCCTGAGAGTCACGCATCTTCAATTAACAAAACTTCGGGGGGTCAGCCAAAGGCTTCGGATAGTCCCTTCGCGAAGAAGACTACTTCGACGTCGAAGTTGAACGGCCTTGGCATGAGCATGTGGGCCAGCGAGGAGCTAACAAATGCCCACACTCAGAACGGAAGCAAGAATCCGTATGCTATCGCCGACACCGACTTGAGTACCAGAGCTTCTACTATGCTCCAGGAGCAGTCAGTCGATGACCCCACCGCTACATACAATAGACAGGCCTCCCAGCTCCTTGAGACGGACCACATCAGAGACGAGACCCAGAAGATCCCCAACATAGTCGGCGGCAACCTCCCCCTCCGCCAGCAACCAAAGGTTGGCACCATGTTATGGGCTTTACAGCAGCTTGACGCAGGATTGGAGCTCCCGGATCCGCAGCTGTTCAATGCTCACAAAGATGAAGTCAAAGGCGTTCATCTTCGTGCCCAGTCTGGGGCTACCCCGAAACCAGACAACGCCATTGATGCCGCATCACAGATTCAAGATCAGATGGTCGAGAAGGCCAAGGCTAACAGTACGATCCTGATAAACGATCTCGATTGCCACTGCCCCAAGAGAAGCCACCCCGTTATTGGCCTGGCAGCTTCTAAGTACAATACGGATGCAGACGGCGATGTTGACATCTCCGGCATGTCCGCTACAGCTCGCAACAAGTTTGCAGTCAATGTCATTCTCCAAGACCATCCTTTGCCTGATTGCCCCGTTCTGTTAAAAACCCAGGCAACGTATCCGCTATACTTCGGTGCGAACCCGGCTACGGTGAACGACAAGAACGATGGCCTCAGTGTAACCCGCTGGGAGGAATCGCACCACGCAACCCGTCCCCTCTCTCAGCAGCATCAGGCCCGGTCCCAGCAACAGTCTGACGGAGGCAGAGGTCTTATGTCTTCTATTTGGGCTGCTTGAAGTCTTTTCTTAGTAAATAGGCAGACGTGATTCGGCTGTGTCAGTCTTTCGAGCCGTTTCGTCAACGACTAGACGCTGGTTCGCCATTTTCATTGTGGCGATATTTCTGAAAACGTCGTCCTACGACTCGGTAAAGCGAAAACTCGCGACGATATCCTAAAAGACTGTGTTCGGATTACGACACCACAATGTGTCTCCCTTTGCCGGCTCTCTAACGATACCCTGTAGCAGCACGATCTCAAGTAGCTACCAAATAGAGACTGCCTTCTGAAATGATGCCTTTTCAGGGTTGGCGTTCAGATATCATGAACGGGCCGGAGAGGCGAAAGGTGGTTAGAGGACGAAGGATGGAGGATGAAAGTTTGTTTTTGACTCAGCAGACAATGGGCTGATGCGGCATCACTCTCAGCCTTTAGAGGCACCTATGCAGCTGCCAAATATGTCTTGCTCAGAAAAGGTAGAGCAACCACCCGATAGAACTTTAGGTGGTCAGTCAATCAAGGAGATGCGTAGAAACTTGTGGCCTGGTTTACCAACATCAATGCGCCAAGGGCCGGGAACTTGCGGACAAAACGCCCCTGAACAACCTCGCGATATCACAACGTGCTCTTCAAGATGCAAGACACCATGGTTGTTATGTTGTGGACAAGATCGCCAGTTTTCATTTCCCCCCAACTCCTTGTATGCTTTCAATTACTCTTTACGAGCTACTAATCTCCTTTTCTAATAACTTGACACCCTCCCGCACCTTGGGCGAGAAATGCCTCCGCAGCAGCTCGCCCTCCCACACTGTCGTCGCGAACGGGTTGCTTCCCTCGACGCTCTCGCTCAGCGCGTTGTAGGTGCCGTCGCCCTTCCTCTCCTCGGTGCGCCACAGCGCCGCAATCTTCTTGCCGTGCGTGTGCGAGACGTCCTGCATCAGCGCCAGTACCGCCTGCGCCGACTTGTCGGGCATGTGCAGGGCCGCCGACATGAGCTGCTTGGAGAAAGCCGCCAGCCGCAGGGGCGGGACGGAGCGGATCTGGTAGGCGGGCAGGAGCACGGCCGTCAGGCAGCGCAGGAGCAAGACGGTGGTGGTCTGGAGGTTGACGCGGTTGTCGCGCGTCGCGGCGGCCGCCGAGGGCCGGATATGGAGGGATTTGGAGGTCAGCTCGAGGTCCGGGTTCATGGAGAGCGAGGGGAGCGAGGTGAAGAGGTGGGTGACGAAGTGGGAGAGGTCGAGATGCAGCTGGGCGCGGGAGTTGTGCGCGTCCTGGCCCGCGAGGAGGGCGAAGGCCGTCACGGTGCAGAGGAGGGCCTCGCGGGTCGTGTTGCGGGACGGACCATCGTCGTCCTCGTCGTCGCCGTCTGCTCCGTGGTTTTCTTCATCGTCGGCGTCGTCAGAGTTCCCCTCCGCGTCTTCTTGAGCGTGGCGGATGAGATCCTTGAGAGCCTCCAGCAGATCGCCGAAGAAGTCTTGGTTGATGAGGTGGGCGTACTTGGCCAGTCCCTCAAGGACAGCGCCCATAAGATGCGGCACGCGCATCTTCAGGATGCGGAAGTAGGATGCAAACACGAGCTTGAGCGTCTCGGACTGCATACGCTCGCGCTCCTCGTGGCTGACGAGGGCGTCAGCCTGCTGCATGTCCTTCTCGATGGCCTTCTGCTCCTTGAGCATCTTGCGCTCCTTCTTGGTGCGGAACTCCTTCTTGAAGCTCTTGCGGGATTGCGGCGGCGGAGCGCCCGGGTCGCGCTCCCGGTCGACGCGGTCCTGTGATGCCTTGCCGGCGAATTCGGAGAGCAAGCGCAGGTGGAGGAACAGGTTCGGCACACTCTCGTCAACGGCGAAGCCGCGGGCCTTCATCATCTTGGACAGCAGCGACACAGCCTCCATCGAGGGGCGGCCCTCCTCGTCTTCGATGAAGAGCGTCTCGAGGGAGCGGCGGCATTTTACGTAGTCGGCGTCAACCTTACGTTTTGAGAGCTTGCTGACGAGGATCTTGAGGAGGTCGCTACGGAAGTTGAAATGCGGCACCGCGTTGACGAGCGTGCAAGCGCAGGCGATGGCGACGCTCGAGATGCTCTGCCCTGTCTTGCGGGTGGCAGGAATGTCGGCCTTTGCCCACTTGGCCAGCTCCTTGACGTACCCCTGGTATCCGGACACAAGAGCCTGCTCAAAGGCACGCAGTTTGCGTACCTCCTTGGAGAGCTTCTCGACGGGGGCGTCCTCGGCGACGGGGCGGATGCGGTAGCCCGGGATGACGTCCTTGTAGACGGCGAGCTGGGTGGCCAGCGTGAGCTTCTGGATGGCCGGGATGCGCGACTGGCCGATCTTCGCGAGGGCCTTGAAGGCGCCAACGTTCTCCTCTGGGTCTTCGTTCAGTGCCATCGCGATCTTGGCGAGCTCCTCCTTGGCCTGGTGGATCTGGACGGGCTCTGGCAGGTTCGATTCCTCCTCCTCTTTCCTGCGGTCCTGGCGCAGCCGTTCGGCGGCTGCCTCAGCGGTGGCGTCCTCATCCTCGCGGCCCTCGAGCCATTCGCCGTCGCTCTCGACCGAGGCAGCATCGTCGTCTCTGTTGTCGCCCTCGAGGGACTGGTACTGCTCGAGGCGGCCATCGGCCGTCTTGATGGGCAGCCGGTTGCTGTCCTTCTTTTCCTTCTTTCCCTTGCGCGGGCGGTTCTCGTAGTCCTGCTCCAGGTTCCAGCCGGCGGCGCTCTTGAAGAAGGATTTTTGGATCTTCTTGGAGCCCTTGCCGGCAGCATCGTGCTCGTCTTCGGGGGGAGGCGTGAGCCTGCGGCGTTTGGTAGCTCTAGATGACATCTTGGACGATATTATGGGATATGTAGTCAATCGAATCGGAGTGTGGTGGGCGATCGGTGTTGTCCTGTTTCGCTGGCCCTCAATGCTCTTCTCTTCCTCGCCGAGTGGAAGATTTCTCGATGCACGGGTGGATTGAACGGGACCCTGCGAGACCAACAGCAGAAAGAGGGACCGTCGAGAACTTTTTAGTGGAGTTATTAAAGTTCAACCAATGAAACCCCTGTACGCCCCTCAGACCGCCCGAAATTTTTTGGGTTTCTGCCGCTACTCCAACCTTTTCGCATCGCGATGCACTTCAGCATCCCACTCTCGGTACGATAGCGCTTGCAACTTTTCCCAAGAAAGCCGCCCTGTTTCTCAACATACCAATAGCGATCCAAGGAAAAGAATACAGCAGCCCATCATGCGTCCCCTTACCGAAAAGGAGACCGAGACCCTCTTCAACAAGCTGGCCAGCTACATGGGCAGCTCGCTGAAGAACCTCATCGCCCCGCTCGACAACGGCCCCGAGCCGGATCGCTACGTCTTCCGCATGATCCGCGACCGCGTCTACTACGTCCGCCTCTCCGTCGCCAACCTTGCGACCAGCATTGCCCGCGAGAAGCTCCTCAGCATCGGCATCTGCCTGGGTACGTCCTCGCGCGCATGGTCTCCCACAGCATTGGAAGCCGTGTCTCTAACCTGTACGATGTAGGCAAGTTCACAAAGACTGGCAAGTTCCGTCTGCACGTCACCGCCCTTCCTATCCTCAGCGAGCACGCAAGATACAAGATCTGGGTCAAGGTGAGTTGAACCCGTCTGAAACTAGTCTACCCCCAGGACGGTTATGCTAATTGCAACCCCCCTCAACAGCCCAACGGAGAGATGCCCTTCCTGTACGGCGGCAACATCGTCAAGGCCCACGTCGGCCGCTGGTCCGAAGACTGCCCGGAGCACCAGGGAGTTATCGTCTTCTCCATGGACGACAAGCCCCTCGGCTTCGGCGTCACCGCCCGCTCGACGGCCGAGGCGCGCCGTCTCGACCCTACGGGTGTCGTGTGCTTCAGACAATCCGACTGCGGCGAGTACCTGCGTGACGAAGATACCCTCTTTGCCGGTTAAACGGGTTTTGCTTTTTTACATAAAGGGAAGGGGAGGATGATAGAAGGAGGAGGCCGGGATGCTGCCCCACCCCTTTGGCTTCTTGGGTATTTTGTGTTGTACATCTTTGGAATGGCGTTTTCGGTTTCACCCAAAAAAGAGAGTCAGAAGACACGGCGGGGCATTTTGACGGCGTTTCTTGTTGGTCATCAGCAGTCTTGTTCTTTCGGTCAATTTTAGCTGGGGGACTATGCTGGTACTGCCGGTGGCCTTGCGCTGCCCCCCGACTATTAATATGCAACCATCTGAAAGATTTACGCATAACTTTTGCATCCCTGATGATTGAGGCGCAAGTGACAGTGACGGTTCCTTATTCGTACCCTAGTTTGGGAGAGCTCTTGTATAGTTCTTGCCAATGTCAGCCGATCTGACATGGACATCTAATGCCCCTGTATAAATTGCACCTCAAATTCTGAAAAGATTGCTTTTGATTCATCACACATGCAGACCCCCTCCTCGTCATTCTCCCTCTCCAGCCTTACGTCTTCTGCTCATACCCGGTGATCCCTGAAATCACCTCCTCGACAATCTGCTCCTTGGCCTTCTCGATGCTCGGCGTCACCGGCCGGCTCTCGCGGCTAAAGATGCGAATGTGCTGCCTCTCCGCCACGTACTCGCTATCGGCGTACCCCAGCAGCCCTCCGATGTCCGAGCTCTGGTGGCCCTTGATGCGCATGATCTCGGGCGCGGCGTAGTTGACCAGCGCGCGGCCGACCTCGACTGGCGTGCCGCCCCACAGCTTGCCGCTCTGGTTCGCGCTCGAACAGTGCAGCCGGTCCACGACGACGAGGCGGACGGCCTCCTGCTGCGCAAAGTTGCCCTCGACGTCGAGCACACCGGCCGGGAGCAGCCCGGCCTTGCGGAGCAGGGCACTGTGGGCGCCGGCGTCGATGTACAGCGTGCCGTGGGGCTTGAGGCCGTGGATGAGCCAAAAGTGGCGGTCGCGGATCGGCTCCGAGGAGGGGAGGAAGCGGGTATGCAAAGGGGGCTTCTCAACGGACTGGTCGAGGCGTAGGGAGGCGGTGGACTGGGACAGGGGGTCTTCGGTATGGTCGTTGTGCTCGTGGTCGGTGTCGTGGTCTTCGCCGTCTTGGATTGTGGTGGCATCTAAGCGCGGGGAGGACTTTTGCTGGGCCTGGACATAGCGCACTATCTTGACAATGTTGCCCGGGTTGGAGGAGCGGGTAATGACGGTCGTCACGCCTGCGGAGGTTGCTAGCCTCGCGGCGACGATCTTGGTCATCATGCCGCCGGTGCCGAGGGCGGAGCCGGCTGTTGAGACTGTTTGGGCATGTCAGCTTCAGTGCGTTTACATGAGATTCTCCCTGGAATAGGGGGATGCGTTTGTCTCGGCTTACCATCCGCTTGAATGCTGGATATGTCCTCGACTACCTCAATGGCTTGGGCGTCAGGGTGGGTTCTGGGGTTCTTGTCGTAGAGACAATCCACGTCGGTCATGAGGAAAAGCATGTCGGCGTGGACCATGCCGGCGGCGATGGCGGAGAGGGTGTCATTGTCGCCAAACTTGATTTCTGACACCGCCAGGGTATCGTTCTCGTTAACGATGGGGATGACACCCATGTCGAGGAGCTCGTTGAACGTGTTTTGAGCATTGAGGTATCGTGTTCGCTATAGTTGTGTCAGACAGTCCCATCATGTTGTTTATCAGTGTGGCTTACATCTGCTATGTCGTTTCGAGTGAGCAGAATCTGGGCGACGGGTTGTCTAAAGTGACTGAACAAATCGTCCCACAGACTGATGAGTCTGCACTGGCCGATGGCTGCTAACGCCTGCGATTCTACTCAGTCACGTCTCTTGTAGAGTTGGGATTGCAGATTCGGACCAACCTGTAGCGTTGACAAGTGCTTCGGCCGTCTGTCCATTTCCATGCGAAGAAGACCGACGCCAATGGCGCCGGATGAGACAATGACCACCCTATGGCCATCTTTCCTCAACTTCACCGCCGTCTCGACAATCAGACTGAGAATAGATAGGAGGGGCTGATGGGTCTTTTCATCAACAATGGAGCTGGTACCTGTAGAACAAGTTAGTATGAATCATCGCGAAACCGGTATTGAACGACTCACCCAGCTTTAGCACCACCGTCAGAGGTTTCCTGCCCTCACGGTGCTTCATATCTGCAGTCGAGGGTACCCAAGTTAGTCACAGAGTCTGTCTTTTTAACCTGTGCCTTTCGCCAGTCCCAAAGATCGCAGCGAGCAACAGTATAAATGCTTAAAGAATGAAAGGTCAAAAAGACGCCCAACAGCGGCATCTGACACATTACGTAGGGCAATACTTGGGGAGAAAAATATTGGATCCTCTTACACGTTGGACCACTCTCTTCCGCCATTGCCAGAACTCAAAACCAGCCAGTTGTCGACTAAATGTGGGACGCTGGGACGAAGAGGGTGGTAATGCTCAAGGCCCCTGGTCAGTGGTTTTGCGCCCTTTGTCGTCGGGCTTGGTTTGGCGCAGCGCTGGATGGATGACTGGATCGGTGGAAAAAACCCTGCCGGATGGCCCGACATCGGGATCGTCCGGTGTGACAGAGGGAACCCGGGAGTGAAGCTGGTAGGAGCCTGTGATTGGGCGGGTGTCTTTCCTAAAATCCGGGGCAGAGGTGGTCCATGTCGGGAATCTACACTGATGTCTTTCGATGGGCGCTTCTCCATGTTGATTCCATCCCTGCTGGTCTTCCTTTTGCGCATGCTGTATGCAGCCAAGGTCGGAAGATTCGACAACCAGCGTGTCATTAAGTCGACTTACTCAGGAAGGGCGTGCCTCTGTAGATCGCATATGGGCTAACTCCAGGGGTGTGTTCGATCCGTAAAACTGAAGTCGTACAGTGAGAGCCACTGCCTTCAATCTTCAAGGTAGCGGATCTATCCTAGTACCGCGGCCTTTCCTACAAACCATTGCCGAAATCAAAACACGGTCATTGAATTATCATACCATAAACAGTACGTTCTTATCTAGTTTGCCTAACACAATGAGAGTGATGAGCTAGCTGGCCACTGGTGAACGGCCCACTGAACTGGCGCTCCAGGATGAACATTAGCTCGCCCAGCACCACAGGCCTTATCGATAGCGGCCAAAATTTCCCGATCTCCCATCCATCTCCCATTCACAACCTCCATCCTGGCTATCACCAACGTTATCAATCGCCAATACCCAGCGACAACATCCATCGTGCCATCCAGGTAGTCGCCCAAAATGACAATTCTCGACGATAAGCCGACGCCCGCAGCGTCCGCCGAGGCCCCCTCGACGACCGCATCCCCAGCGACGGCGGCAGCACCCTCCACGCAGCAACAGCCGCCGCGCGAACTCCGCAACGATCCCGCCCGCACCGGCTTCGACCCGCAGACCAAGTGGTGGATGAACTACTTCAACGTCCTCACCGGCCGCATGACCCCGAGGGCCAGTTCCACTACCGTGAGGCCCGCTACCGCGCCAACGAGGAGCGCGACTGCAAGCGCTGCGAGGAGCACCGCGACTGGCTCCTCGCCTTCTCCCCGACCGTGCGCTTCCTCAACGACAAGATCACCGCTCTCAACGGCAATCTCGACTCGTCCAACATCCTCTGCAGGCGGTGTCCTGCCCGGCTCACCGAGGACGGCGAGGTGCACCGCCAGTCTGGCGGCTTCAGCCCCGCCCACGGGATCCTGATCTGCGCCAACGAAGTGAGGGACCGCAAGCACCTCGAGGACACGCTGTCGCATGAGATGGTGCATGCGTGGGATCATCTGCGGTGGAACGTGGACTGGATGGGGGATTTGGATCTGAAGCATGCGGCGTGTACAGAAGTAGGTTCCGTCAGGTTTCTTGAGAACGGGGGAATAATGAAAAGCTGACTTGCGACAACAGATCCGAGCATCGATGCTCAGTGGCGAGTGCAGGTGGACGAGAGAGGCCTTCACAAGAGGCAACTGGAGCCTGTCGCAGCAGTTCCAGGACTGCGTGCGGAAGCGCGCCATACAATCCGTCCTCAACCGGCCGAGGTGCAAGGACGACGTGCAGGCGACCAAGGTAGTGAACCAGGTCTGGGACTCGTGCTTCAGCGACACGCGGCCCTTTGACGAGGTCTACAGATGATGGGACGGCGGGCAGGACGGGACGATAGTGATGGATAGGCTCGGGAGATCAGCGTGTGCGTGTGTACAATACCCCCCTAAAACTGGATGTACTATATTTCTTCTCACAGAAGCAAAAAAGACCCAATATCAATGCTTGACGATGAATGGCTATGCTACTCTGGTTTTTCTCTCTGAATACTTCAAACACCACGGACATTAGAAAACCCAACTCCCGTACATGCAATTGGAAACCGCACCCCCCCAAAACCCCAAGCCGTAGATCAGAGCCCGCCTGAATCCCGCAAAGAAGAAACGCCGTTAATCCTACAAGGACCGTTATGCCTTGATGGTATGTGATGCATGAATCATAAGGGTCATTAATTAGGAGCTCTTCTCGCGGTTGGCGGCTCTCTCGCCCTTTACGCAGTGCTTGACGATCCACGGGTGGGTTTGGACCTGTTCCAGGGGTATTCTCTTCTCGGGGTCGAGAACGAGCAACTGGTGAGCGGCGTCAGTATGCAGTCTAGAAAAAAAGCGGCGTGCGTTGTGTTGACTCACCTTCTTGATCAGGTCCTTGGCCTCGGGACTGACAAACGACGGCACAGTCATGTCAGCCCGAGCAATCCTCCTTTGCGTCATCACGGGCGTGTCCTCAAAGGGTGCCTCGCCGACAAGGAATTCGTATGTGAGGACACCTAAACTCCATAGGTCGACCTTTTCATTATAGTAGTTGTCGGAGCTACCGGGCTTGATCATTTCGGGTGGCAGGTAGTCAAGAGTACCGCACATTGTGTTGCGGCGGTTGTTAGGGGCGTGGACGCTCCAGCCGAAGTCCGAGATCTTGATTTCTCCGTGGATACCCATGAGGATGTTCTCAGGCTTGATGTCCCTGTGGATGACGTGCTTGCGGTGCAGGTAGCGCAGGGCTGAGGCCATCTGCGCAATGTACTGCGCCGACTTCCACTCGGGGAAGCGGCTCTCCTTGCGGAGGTGCTTGTACAGCTCGCCCTTGCCGGCAAACTCGAGGATGAGGAAGACGCGCTTGCTGTCGTGGAAGTGCCCGTACAGCTGGAGAATGTTGGGGTGGCGCAGGTTGCTCTGGATCTCAATCTCGCGGCGGACCTGCTTCTCGACGCGGCCCTGTTGGAGCTCGTTCTTGTGCAGGACCTTGAGAGCGCAGATGAACCCGCTCGTGCGCTCCCTGGCGAGGTACACGCGGCCGAACTTTCCCTTACCCAAGGGCCGGCCGATCTCAAACATGCCCAGGTGGAAGACCTTGGGCGTCGAGGGCTCGACGATGATGGAAATGGTCGACTTGCGTTCGATCTCGGTGACCTCATCGGACGTCCTCGACGAAGTCGATGGCAGGGGCTTTCTCGTGGGCGACGCAGGGTTTTTCGCATGTCGTTGTGCGGACTGCGAGGGCAGCGTTACCGAGGCGACGGCGTTGGTGCTCTGGGACTGGAGTGCGACCTTGACGAGGTTTGGTCTGCTCGAGCTCTGTGAGAGCTGTGATGTCTTCACCAAGGACTGTACGCCTTGTGTCAGCGAGGGCGTCGTCGGGTGATGCAAGTACGCCGACGAGAGGCACGAACCTGGGTCTTGGAGTAGAGCTTGCCGGTTTCGACAGGCTCATTCTCGTCATTTACAGACATGCGCTCAAAACGCGACTCCAACGTCCGAGTAGCCATTGTGCCGTGTGTTGGAGAAGGTGTGCAACTAAGTCGAGTGTTCCCTGCTGGTTAGAAAAGAGTGCACGGGGAGGTTTCTGGGTGTAAGGAAACCTGGAGTTGGCTGTCAGGTTTATTAAGAAAGGTTTCGGGTTACGATGTACGAGCCGCTGTGGAAGCTAAACAATGGGGGTGAGCATGGTTGCCAGGGGAACGGGCAAACTGCAACAGCAGGGCAGCGACCCGCCCCGCTGTTTTCAGGTACAGCACCTAGGTACTGTGTAATACTGCTCCCCCCCACTTCCCACTCCAGCTGGTGCTTGCTCCCGGGCTTGGAACGACCACCTCGTCTTAGCCGCTGTCAGCTTGGCCTGACGTGAACATTTCCTTGTTCATCAAGGATCTAAGCGGCAGTTCCTCGATGGGCTCGATAATTTCCAGCCCCGTTTCAAGTCAGGCGCCTGTCCAAAAGTCAAGATGAACCAGCCCCGGTGGTTTTTGGACAATGAGCGGTCAAGGCTGCAACATCCCGATGCGGATGCACTCGAGTCGACCCTGTCGTCGACCAGCCTCCTGTTCTACGACTGCGTATCGTATCCATGGTTGTATGTAGGGGCTAGACCAATTAGGTCCATGACTAATGAGCATTCTGCCACTTGGAGCCCGAAGAGCGTTCTACCGACCATTATAGGGCGTTGGTAGCTTATCCATTCTCAACCACCTAGAAAACAACAGAGCCTCATCTCATTGCAAAGGCCCAGCTCCACCGTTGCTGTCCGTTGCTCCAAGTACGTTATGAGATGCGGCTTGAATCGAGAACGATTGACAGCCATGCCTCCCTTTCTCCGATGCGTCGCGAGAAACAAAGTCCGTCTGCCCAAAATTTTGCTTTGACTTGGATTTGTCCAATATAGGACCACCATACTGCATGAAACGTTGTGGCAGAAAGACGACAAATCGCTCTGAGCCAGCTTGTCTAACATTCACGTTGCTCCCGCGAGACAACGCACTCTCCTTGCACCAACTACTTGGTTCCAGTTCTCGCGTGTCGGACTGGTCTTTCAAAGCGTCATTTCCGAATCGAACGTTTTGTTGTTGAAAGGAAAAGCGTTGACTAAGTTGCTGAGATATATCTCCGGTAACCTGGCACAGAAACGTATCACCATACTCGCATACCCAACCCCTCTCGCGGTAAACAAGACCTCGAAGCCACGAAGAGGGACTGTAACAAACAATCTTTGACGACTATTGACTCTGACTATTGAATCTTCTCCTAACACTCAATCACGGATCCTGGAGTTCACAACACTGTCCGATTCGATTATTGAGCACAAGATGGGATTTGACCAACCGACCGCGCCGCCCGTCCCTAGACGTCACCTATCGCCGTTGGAACTTCTGAGAGAAAATGCAAAGATCTCAGGGGATCATATCGAAATGCACGTGAGATGCGACAGATGCGATAGACGCATAGAAGCACCCGTGCCCTACGAATGGCTCCGCAGGATGAGCGAGACCAAAGACCTATACCCAGTACCTGTTCCAAGCTTTAGACTATTCTGCGGAGAGAAACCGGGGGGACCACGATACGGATATCTCCCCAGCTGTGTCCTGGCTACAATGACGGCAGGTGCCTTGCCATGCGAACTCCCAGGTACATCCAGACGTGGAAAAACTTCAAGTCGCTTCCAGGTGTATTCGAAATGGACAAGGCGTGGTTGAAGCTCCGATACCCGCCAGCGGAGGGATATTCCACACATCCTGGCTGGCAGGACAGACTGGAGTACGCGACAAGGTCAATGGCTGACTTGAAGCCTCCGTACGTCCGTTACCTGGGCTGGCGATTTGCGTGGCACCTCTTCTGGCACCACAAGGGCATGAGGCACGAGAACGCACCGCTCGAGAGGATGTGGGGCAACGTTGCAGCGGACGTGCTGCTGTGGCATTTCGAACTCCTCAAGGAACGTGACCTTGAGGCGCTTTACTGCACGAGCGTGGGTAGCCTCATTGGGTTGCTAGTGTGTCGTTGGGACTATGGTATTGCCATCCTTGAGATGTTCTACGCCGTAAGGCAGGACCTCAACAAGCATGGCTTCAACCCGCTCAAGTCGGCGGTCCAGGGTGCCGACACGGCCATGCGCAAGTACATTGAGGCTCGTATCAGAAGAGATGACGAGGAGCAAGAGCATCGATGGTTTCTAGTAAATGGTGCCTTCCTAGCTGTCAGCAACATATTAAAAGAGTACGGGACCGAAGAACAGCATCAGCTTTTTGACAAGCTGTATTTCTTCCTTCCGCGTCTCCCGTACGAAGACTTGTGTCTGTTTTCTCAAGAGACAAGCGAAGAGGAAGCTGGAGAAGAACCAGATGATCTAGATCTAGATCAAGGACGGGCGGATCAGTCGATCGAGTGGCTCTCATGAACCATTGTCGAGTACGGGCAAACTATAGGGCAATCAAGCCCAGGGACATGATGTCCCCATGCGGTCGTAAGCTGGGCCGTATGAAGAAGCCCAGAACTGACTCGGCCGCAAATTTATTAAGAAGTTCGCAGAGTCCATACATGAGCGCGGAAAGAGTGACAAGTTGGAATATTTAGGCGTGCTGGTGTGCTCGGTGGAGATCTCAAAGTGACGTTGGGCCCCTCCCCTCACCGAAACAAGCAGGGATTCTAGTCCCGAGACACTTGTATTCCCCGCCAAACCCCCACCATCACCACCTGGGTGCTCTCCCCCGACCAGAGCTCCAACTCAACTGCCTACCTCCGATCCGAGCTGCACCAGCACCAAAACCTTCCCTCAACACCAACACCTCCGGACTACCATCCCACGATCCCTACCACTTCACCTTGCAGCGCAACCTTCCGGCTTTCTATTAAATCTTTCAAGCCTCTCAAAAACCAACACCGCGACAACCATCGCCCAAGATGAACCACATAACCTCCCCCAACGAGCCCTTCCCGACCCCCTCCGCCCTCGCCGCGGCCACGACAACTCACACCCAGCGTAACTTCCGTATTGCTTCCCGCAAGCTCCCCATCTCCAAGGCCGGCCCCATCGACGAGATGACAGCCTCCCTCGGCATCCCGGTCCCCGAGATGATCTTCGGCGACAACCTCGTCTCCGTCTCCCATGTGCCTACCGGCTGGTCCATCTCCTTCAACGCCTACGACGCACTCGACGCCGTCGACAAGACAGACAAGAAGATGCTGAAAGTCGCCTACGCCCGGGACTGGTCCTCTAGCAGAGAGAAGACGAGCGCGGGGATCAAGGAGGTCGTCAAGCCGTACGATTGGTCCTACTCGACCGAGTACCGCGGCACGCTGCAGGAGCCTGAAGCCCAAGGACAGAAGCTGGAGGGGACGACGACGCGGCAGATCCCACTCGAGCTTCTGAAGCGCCGTGACCCGATCCTCTTCTTCGACGACGTGGTGCTCTTCGAGAGTGAGCTCGACGACAACGGCATCTCCATCGTCAGCGTCAAGGTCCGCGTCCACGAGAAGCGCATGCTGCTGCTGTGCCGACTGTTCATGCGCCTCGACAACGTGATCGTGCGCATCCGGGACACGAGGGTGTACGTTGACTTTGAGACGGACGAGGTCATCCGGGAGTACACGGCCAAGGAGGACAGCTTTGACAGCGTCAAGCGGGTGAGTTTTGAAAAAATTCCTGGTATATGGATGAAATTGCTGACGAGGAGCTTGTACAGTCGTTGTTCATGGAGGGCCGGCTGCCGGATGATATCACCATCGCCTTGCGGGACCCGAACCTGCTCTACAACCTGCTGCCGACGGTCGAGCAGACGGTACAGAGTGTTTCCCTCAAGCAATGAAACGCCTCCCCTCCTTTCTCAATTGTTGCTTCATAGGTTTCGCCTCTTTATGGGAAACCGGCGTTCAGGACAGGGCATGTAGATTCAGGCGTTTCTGGCACGAGGGAAAAGTTTACGGCATGGTGAGGGTACCGCGATACCTTGACAGAAAGAATCCAGTTTTCTATACACACACACCGCACATCATATTGATGGAATCGTTATTGAATCCGCTGAATGAACTAACTTCTGCTTCTGTAAGTGACTGCAGCGGCCTCCCTATTGAAGAGGACGACATCGACGAGACGCGTCAAACGCCCAAGGCTTCCAGCAAAAGCAACGACGTAGTGTAAGGCGCTACGAGCTCGACCACAAATGGACCCCAACAGCGACTGCGCGGATATTCCCGGCTTCATATAAGCATGACAAGCAAAACTCCCTGTTTTCCCCTTGCAACCCGTCGTTCTCCTGTTTTCCTACAGATCCATTAAAACAGCTAAACAGTCGCCGAATTCTCTTCACCGCGCATCTCGGTTCGGCGATGAGTCCTCAGTCACCTCCTCGAACTCCAACTCCCAGCGATCGACTTCTTTGAACTTGCGCGCTGCCTTCTTCAGCTCGTCAGCGCTGCGGATCGGATCGCTGCTATCCTGGCTCTCAAAGACGTCGTCCTGGATAGGGGCGAAGCTATCACCATCGACCTCCGGCTCTGCTTCTGCCTCAACCTCGGCCTCGGCTGCGTCCTCGCCCCGTTCTCCTTGTCCGACAGACGGCGGCTGTAAGTGCGCGTCGCAGAACGCGTCACCGCCCTGGCATTTTCTGCCGACGCAGCTGCCTTGCCACCACGGGAAGTTGCCCGATTCGCTGTGCTGCGGTTCAGAGGTGTTACCTTGGCACGTCGGGAACGAGTGCGCGCGTCAACAAACGAGAGCTCATCGTCGTGCTCTGCAAGGTTTGAGGCATCAATCTCACCCTCCTCTGTGTCATCCACGCTGTAGGGGTCTCGAGCCTTCTTGTGGCGTCTGCGGGGCAACAGCCCGGTCAGATCCGCTGTAGTGACTTTGGGCGACTTGGCCTGCTTCTTCTGCCGGGACTTGTTTCTCGTTGCCGGGAAGTTGGGGGAGTGCGTGAGAGACGGTGGCGAGGAGGCATCGGAGACGTTGCCATCCCGCGTTGGAGTGACCGGCGAGGCGCGACGGCGGCGCTGCTTGGCGAGGGTGCGGATGTCAGGCCAAAGCTCCTCGCTGTCTTCGGAATCACTGCTCTCGGGGGGTGCCATAATCTCATCCCGGTTCGGGGTAGTTGGGCGGGGCAGCGCAGACGGCCGCGTGGGCGTGAGAACGGGCGAGGGCAGCTCTGAGAGCTCCGAGTCGCTGTTGTCATCTCCCAGCTCAGGAACAGACTCAGGCTCAGGCTCGGTCCGTGATGCCTTTCCTGGACGCTCCGCCTCCTCATGGCTCTCTACGCTCTTGCGCTTGCGTGATCGGGTGCTGGAAGTGAGCCCCGCCTCCTTCTGGGCGGGCTGTGAATCCGGTGCGAGGACCTGCTGCGACTCCGACTCGGGCTCCGTCGCTGGGGGCGGCTGCGTTTTGCGCCTGTTCTGTAAAGGTGTTGACTCGGCCTCGGGCTCGAAACCGTTGCCCTCTTCATCGTCAGAGTCGGGTCCGGACGATAGCTCGATCGGCCGCTGCGCACGCTCCTTCTGTGCCGTACCCAAGATACTCGGTTCCCTTTGACGGCGCTTGAACAGCCCAATGTTGAACGTCGAACTGATACCTGGGGTACCGCCAACACCGCGACTGCTCGGTCTGATGGGCGCGTCGTCCTTGTTGATGCTAATACTGGGCGCGCGGCCCCGACGCTTGAAGTGGCTAACACTGAACGTCGAGGTATCCGAACGAGGTGCACTTGGCGGCGCAGCGGCATCATCGTCGTCGCCTATCGTAGTGTCGAGCCCCTCAAACATGTCGTCGTCCAAATCCAACCCCGTCGTGTCCCTCCGGTGCTGTACCGGCGTCGAGCGCGTCTTCCTGCCCAGCTCCAACTCGACCGAGGAGTCAGACTTTTGCCGCTGTTCGCTCAACGTCTTTGCCTTAGAAGACGTCGTATCCAGCTCGTCCTCCAACCTGCTCATGGCCTCGTCCCGCGCGCGTGCTGACTTCTCCAAGGCCTTCCTCTGGCGCAAGCTCGAGCTCCTACTCGGACGCGCAGACGCGCCTCCCGTGAGGCGAGACGGCCCAGGCCCATCCTCCTTTTCGAGCTCCTTGCGGATGACCGAGTGTTCGCGATCGCTGTGGCTGTAGATGTCGCTGCCCGAGGCGGGCGCGGGGCTCGACTTTTCCTCCGGCGCGACGGCGACGGGCGCGGGTGGCGCGCGACGCGCTCGTTTGGGTCTCGGCATTGCTTGGGTTTGATGTTGAGGATGCTAGATTGACGTCCGAATGATTTGCACAGCTTATATATGGGAGAGAAGCTCGGCACGGTTCACATGAAGCGGAGGGGTTGGGCCGAGATAAGGATGGGATGGCGGAGGCTTGTGATATTTTGAAGTGGTGTGGGAGGGAAACACCTGGAGCCGGGACGCGTCGCGAACTCGAACCTTCTGGGCCGGGTCGCGACCCACCCACCCCAAATTGAAAGCAGATGGGAGAGCTAGCGCCACGACATCAGCCACACCTTCACACAGATGCAGGCTAGCGATCAAAGCAACATCCGCGTCTATTATGTCATTGAGGAGTACGTACGTTAATGCATAGGAAGTGTTGGGTGGCTAGCAAGGTCAGAGTTAATGTTTGGGAGAAATATGTTTCATTAGGGAGTTGAGACCTTGAATCCGCCCAGTGCGACTCTCCATCTCAGGTATAATGTGCGTCGTGCCATCCTTCCAACTTGACTCTATCTTTTCTGGTATACATGGTGGTTTTACATAAAATGTTGTACATCCTTCTCTCCTCCACCCAGGCCAAGAAGCACCTTAGATTAGAGCTTGACCCATGAACATGCTCTCCTTAACTTCGGCAACAACGTCCTTCTTGTCGTCCTTTCCAACAAGCACAATGCCTCTTCCACGACGTCCCATGCGCCCAGCTCTTCCTAGGCGATGGATGAAGTCGATGGTAGTGTGCGGGACATCGTAGAGAATGACGTGTCGTACAGCCAGAGTGTCAATGCCTCTAGACGCCAGGTCCGTGGCGACAATAACCTTGGTGTTGGGCAGCGAACGCTTGCCCGTGACGGGGGACTCTGTCGACACTGAGCGTAGAGGTTCCGACGACGTGAAAGCGTTCAGCATCTCGGACTGGCGATTCTCGGCCGTGTCCCTGTTCAGCGCGACGGCGTCGATGCCCTTGGACTGGAGATACTCGGCCACCTCGGTCGTCTTTTCGCGCTCGTTGACAAAGACCATGATACGACGGACGTCAATCTCGCCCTGGATCGGGCCCTCGTGCTTGGACGCCTCGCGGCCAATCGTATAAATGGCGTCGGCGCAGGCCAAGTTCTTGTTGTTGCGGTAGGGGTCCTTGACGACATCAATGACACCAAGCTGGACTCTTCTGGGGATGGCGTGGAGATTCGGCGTCGTGATGCGGGTCATGTTGGGGAAGTTGTTGGCCAGGTAGTTGTCCAGTCTCTTGGGGATGGTCGCTGAGCAGAGGATGAACTGCTTCAGCGACGGCATCGCCCTGTCGATGATGGTTGTGGTCACGGGCGCGAAGCTTCGGTCGAACAGCGAGTCCGCCTCATCGACGATCAGGTGGCTGACCTGAGAGAGGATGTTGGGGTCGGAGTCTGCGATCGAGGCCAGCAGGTGAGGCGTTGTGATGACCATGTCGATACCGCGCGGCGAGTACAAGTTGCGCTGGATCGTGGTAGCGCTGAGGTTGGCCGCGAGCTTCTCCGACTTGAACTTGACAGCGTGGGAGAGCGTCTTGGCCACTCTGCCGACTTGGTCAACAAGCTCTGCAGAAGGAACCAGGACGATGACGCGAGGCCTGGCCAGGGTCGGGTGAGGCTCATCGAATGTAGAGATCTTCTTTGATTTCGATGTCCTCTCTCTGGCCTTCTCCTCCTCAAACCGCTTCTTGTAAGCCTGAATCTCAGGGTTTGCCTCTTCGGCAATCTTCATGGCGTTGACGGCAGGCAGCAGGTATGCCAGCGTCTTGCCGGAACCCGTCTCGGCTGCGAGCAGAAAGTCTTGCCTCTTCTCGCCCCTGACCTTGAACGCGCTGGTCTGACCCAGCATCGCCGGGATCGCAAGCCTCTGGACGGGCGTCGGCTTGATGTCCACCATTCCCCGCAGGAGATCCTCGTTGATGGCTGTCTTGACAGCAGGGAGGAGGTTGAACTGGTCAAAAGACTCGTATTCCTGCATCTTATCTTTCAAGGCGTTCCTCTTTCCGTACGACACGCCCGCCAGAGACCGCTGCATCTTCAGCGCTTTCCTCGGATCGGATGAGGTCTGGGATTCGCCCCCTCTGCTAGGTCTGCCTGATGGCAGTTTCGCGTTGGACGGTCGCGAGGCGACACGGCGCGGCCCCTCGGGGACCCTCGCAAATTTCTGGTTCATTCCGCCAAAGGGTCCCTCGACCAGTCGTCTCGGCGGGCGGGCATCTCGGTTTCGGGGTTTTGCGACGTTGTCAGAGAGAACCATGCGCGATGGCTTCTCTTTTGCCGCCGAACGGTAGCCGGCGCTTTGTGTGAACCACGGCGAAGTCGTCAGTCGGGGGAAGGGCTGGGGCCGTAATGTCAGTTGGCATCTGGGGCACAGCGATGCCAGTGTCCTCGACGACATGGTGGGCAGGCGTGTGGGAGTCGTGGCTAAAGCTGGACCTGGAGCTTGAGTTGATGCAGGAACGAGATACCCCCTGGCTCTCTCGAAATTTTAGAGCTCGGTTTGGAGATTTCTGCGCCGACCCCCACGCAATCGGCGTGGTCTAAGCTCCGTGCCGACTTCTGGCAGCGCCACCTCCGGGGTCGTGCGTCCCAGCTTTCTTAACAACCTGACATAGTCAACGTTGCCGTTACATTTACTCTGTAGGCAGATTGAGCTGGCTTCAGTCATCAATGAGAAGCCTGATTTGATATACGTCCAAGGATTGCCGAACGATGTGAATCTGCTTCTAGTGCCAATGTGTGCATGATGCATGGTTTCGGTGTGTTTTGAAGGCAAACCTAGCTGGCTTGAGGCTTCGTCGCGGCTGTTCGAATGCACTCGCTTCGGATAACACTGTCATGGAGTGAAAGGCATGAGCCAGGAAAACACATTCTTCTCGTAGGGCTGGGCGGTTGTCCGATCGTTTCCATCTCCAGACAGATAGACTCGCGCGTATGTCTTGGCCAAGGATCCTCTCCGGCATTACTGTGGCTGTGGCGCTCTGTAAGGAACTATCCGAGCTTTTTTAGGCCTTGACATCCCGTCCCCTTCAATCCCACATTTCAGCTCAGGTCATCCACCGTTCGATTCCAGCCCAGTGGAACCCCCCTCGCCTTTGTTACTCTCTCAGCCCCATTTACCACCGTTGTCGAGGGGGCGATCCCCTATTTGATCAAGCCTGGTCCTGAAAGGTCAGCTATCTCGATCCGAACCTCCTTTGTCCCTGTCGTCGCCCGCCCGACTTCAACTTCTTCTTCCCCTCGTTGCTTCGTTTTCCTCTCATCAGGACTCCACGTCCTGTAACGTACATACCGTCGGCATATCTTTGAGTCAGAAGCATGTGTATCCCCAGGTGACGGGACCCGAAGCAATGAGCGCCGATCTCTTAGACCTCGACAGCTTCTACCAGAGCCCTCCGTCGCAACAGCAGCGAACGGGGGGCCAGCAGGGCCAGCCGCAGCAAAAGCAGCAGCAACGCCCGCAGCAATTCACGGCATCGTCAACGGACCTCTTTGACTTTGCCTCCTTCGCCAGCAACAGGCCAGCAGCCGCGGCGACGCCGGTTCAACAGACCCAGCCATGGCCCAATTTTGAGACGCAGCAACCAAGCGGTGCTAGCGGTGGCAGCAACGGAGGATGGGGTGACTTCGGCTCATTCTCGTCGGGCTTCACGCCTTCATCAACCTCGCAGCAGCAGCCGAGGCAGACGCAACAAGCTGCCGACGACGATGACGGATGGGGCGACTTCGAGGTTGCGGAGCCTACACCGACTCAGCGCTCATTCGTGTTGCCCCCGCAGACGAACAAAGCGAGGGCGTCGCCGCCACCGCGGAACCGCATCGCGCGCGCCTCGACGTTCGATCTCATGACGAACAACCTCATCAACGTTGTCGACATGCCTCGTGGCTCGGGCCTTTCGTCGATCCCGAGTCCGGGGCTCCCCTCGCCGAACCAGCAACCCGCCCCTAGCCCGGGACTCTCATGGCAGCAGTCGAACCGACAGCCCAGCCCTGGGCTTACATGGCAAACAGCGAGCTCCAAGCCGCCGGTCAGCCCGGGGCTTTCGTTTCAGGCATCATCTGCGAAGCCGCAGCCAAGTCCTGGGTTTGCTAGTCAGATGTATGGGTCGCAAAAGAAGCCAGGCCCCAAGCCGGCTAAGCAGTCTGACTCGAATGTCTTATTTGACGCGGAAGATTTCGAGCTTCAGGGCGGAAACGACGATGAGGAAGAAGATGATGAGTTTGGCGATTTTGAGACTGTACAGACTCCGTTTCCCGGCGCAAACATGAGTCCGACGCTGGATTCAAGACCAGCCCAACGGCAACCACCACAGGCATCACAGCCCCCGCCATCTATGGACTTGCTTTCCCTCGACGACGATCCTATCCCGGTTTCCCAGCCTCCATCGAAGAAGCCGCAGCTTTCTTCATTAAACCTCACCGCGCCTACCTCACCATATCCCCAGGCACCCAAGTCGCCGTCCTTCCATGAGCGCAACCCCTTTCCGGGCCTGGGTCTCAGGACGCCGACTTCTGGAAATTTCCAGGATGAGGAGAAGAAGAAGGACGACCAAACCAACTCCCCCTCACCCGTCACGGCGTGGCCCTCTTTCGGCCAGACATCACCCAAGAAGCCATCCACCGGTGCGACGAAGAAGTCCTCTACTGCCACCAACCTCCAGAAGACGCAAGAGGAAGAAGCCTGGCCAGATTTTGAAGACTTCCCCGACGATGAGCCCTCTGCCGTTGACTCCGCCAAACCCCCGGAGAGCTGGGATTGGGACGCAGTGGACGGCGTCCAGCCCGCAGCCCCGTCCCCGGTCGTCGCCAAAAAACCCGCCCCGAAACCCAAAACAGAGCCGGAGCCAGCCCCCGACGCCCGCGACGACGCCCCGCCGCCCATCAACATCCCCCCTCCTTCCGTCCTTCTATCTATCTTCCCGCAACTCCTCGACCTCGCAAACTCATCTCTCTTCAAGCCCACGGGCCAGATGCCGGCGCCCATCAAGAAACGTGTTCTGTCGGACCCGGGCACCGTGACGTTCCTCCGCGCATACCTTCTCCTCGCCATCGTCGCCGCCCGCGTCATCGCCGGTCGCAAGCTCCGCTGGCACCGCGACAAGTTCCTCGCCCAGGGCATGGCCATCTCGGCCGCCGGAGCCAAGGGCATGAAGCTCGCGGGCGTCGACAAGGCGCAGGCGGCGCGCGAGGATCGCGAGGCGGCCGACGTCGTGGGCGTGTGGAGGGAGCACGTCGGCCGGCTGCGGTCCGCCGTCGCGGCGGCGAACTCGACGGTCAAGTCGCCGCGCGACCAGCTCCGCGTGCCCGAGATCAACGAGACCATCCCCGTATCGACGGCCAAGGTTGTGCCGACGGCGCCCAAGCCGTGCGTCATCTGCGGCCTGAAGCGCGAGGAGCGGGTGAGCAAGGTCGACTTCGACGTCGAAGACAGCTTTGGGGAGTGGTGGGTTGAGCACTGGGGTCATCGGGCCTGCAAGAACTTTTGGGTGGAGCACGAGAAGCAGCTGCGGCAGAGGTGAATGGAGGTGATGTCACGGTGGAAGGAGACCAGATTGTACATACTGAACATACATGATACCTCGGGTGTTTTCTTTGCATCTATCGGGCGGCGACCTTGACAACATCAGAACATTTAGGTTAGGCGACAGCACATCAATGGCTTCAGGCTATCGTTTTACGGTCATGGCTTCATTTGAGCCTCACCTCCTGGGTTAGTCGAGACGGGCATTGCCGCGGTGAGACGTTCCGTCGCTTATTCAGTCTCAATCGGATCAGATGGTTTCTGTGCGATGAGCAGCAGTTACCATGCTGTAGAGGGTGTGTTGCCCTGGGTTACCTTCGACGTGTTGGCGCTTGATGACTCTGATCGCTCGTTGTGCGCACCTCCAGCCCGACATCGTCTATCAGACATAGGGTATCCCGGCAGGGGCCAAGTGTCGCGTGCAATCCGTCCACGACCAATGTGCCCTGCGAGCGTCGCATGATAGAGGCATTGAATAGCACTAGTCAATGAGAAAACCATCGAAATCCTACAACGAGTCTCTTGTTGCAGGCGAGCCGGCGCTGCGAGGTGCACTTAGGCCGGGATGGGCAGAGGCTCGCTGCCGAATGAGAGAAGACGGTACGAGCATTAGTGAAGAGGCTACTGCAACGTAGACGCTACGTGAGGGTTGCTGGAGAGGCTTCTTCGTGGAGCTTCCGTCGGCACGCATAAATCCCACGGCTGGGGTGCCTACCTTAGGCTGGCCAATCCGGAATGATGGCAAGGAATGGGCTGTCCTTGAAAGGCTGACCCATTTGCATCGTATTTACGGGGCGGAAGAGCTGCGACGGATGGCCGGAGACTAGTGAGATGCCTGCGACGGCATCGCATGTGGCGGCCGATTAGCGGGGAGGCTGGAAGAGGAGCACATTGTAACTCTCCTCGTCAGATTGTGTAAGCAGATATCACCCGCGCAATCCGGATAGTGAGGGATGCTGCAACACCGCGTTACACTACATAGCAAGCCCTCTTGTTTGGCCATAGTGGCTCAACAAGGTCGAATGTCAAGCATCGGAGGACTGGGAAAAACAGATTTGCTGGGCCGTCTTGAGGCGAGCCTGCGAAGCACGGACTGCCATGGGATTTCCGACATGCCATTTTGACAGGTGATGGACGATTCTTCTGAGACCCATGAGGAGGGGGGAGGCTGGATCTGTTGGTACCGTTTCGCGCCAAAGCGTCGGCCGCACCGATCAGTAGCCGCCTGGCGTATCAATATGGCAAGGCCGGCGGGAGCCAAGCATTTATGGTTGCTTGTACTCCGTACGCGTGCTGGCTCAACATCGTGACGCATGCGTACGCTGCAAGCAACGTGACAAGTGGAGCGGCGAAGGTCCCCTGGTTGATCAAGGCGTCGGATCCGATGGGGATGTGGAATTGGTCAGCCACGGACCACTGGGGGGAACTGGAGCTTGGGACGCTCGATGCACTGCGTCTCGAGCCTGCAACAGGTTTCCGTCATTGGGATGCAGCTGCGAATGCGAGACTGACTGACTGTAATCCAAGGCCAAAAGAGCCCGCGTGGTCGCATGCCGCATGTTGCAAGTCGGGCAGACATGACCAGTTCGATTGGATACTTGTTTGATACAACAAGACGCTTGCCGGCAAAAGCCCCGATGCGGTCGGGGAATCAGGCACCATCAGATCCTGGAGAGACTAGCAATGCGCATTGCACTGAAAGATTCAACCCTGGAATGGGCGACAATTCGAGACGGCTGCAAATGCTTCTTCCCTGTCGGGTGGCCTGGCGGGGATTAGTCCGAGGGAGCCCCAATAAGGGCAGCACCGTCCCGTACTCCAAGAGGCCGCCCGGAGAAGCTGCCCAGAGTTTACAGCCCACCCTCGATGAGGTGTAAATGGTGCGAGAGATGGAGGGAGGGACATATCTATGTCTTGGGTTGGGGGATCGAGGCGGTGGATGGTCCGCGTAGGGGGGGGGCGGCGAGCCATTGGTGGGTGAGGGGTGACAGTTGGTGGGTGATTGAGACAGTCTAGGAGGCGGCAGGTTCTGAGAAGCTTGGGTGCAACAACTGCTTGGTGTCTCATCGTTCTGTCTCCTGTCGTCACCTCACTTCAATCGCACCTGTGAGTAGGTTGGTGCAAAAAGGCGTATCAAAGGAGCGAGTCCCAGTCTGTTTCCAAGAGAGGAAGTGAGCACCCCCGGGAAGAACAAGTCCAGATACTGGGTAAGCTCCATGCCGCGTGGAGGGGTTCTGGGTGAGGTACCATGTACGATTTGGATACAGCTCGGGAAGCATGTGCAGGAGGGGCAGGGGACTTGCTGAGGTGATGACCCTAGCGTCTCTGGATGTATCGCTTGGCCGGATTTCGCAGAGAAGGTACATATGACCTACCGCTGCAGGGTGAGACCCCGAGTAGCCGCCGTTGGAGTGATGAGGCGCCTGCCGCCTTCATGCCCGTACCTGCCCCGTCTTCACGGTCATTCCGTCCCATTGAAGCCCCCCTCCACTGGCACTTGCTGCCCGTACCTGCCCTGTCTTCACAGTCTTTCCATCCCATTCAAAGGCCCCTCCACTCAAAAACAGCGGTACTTTGACCTCTTCCAGCAGAGGAGCTCCCCCAATTCTTCCCCCTCCTTACCTCGCTCAACCACCACCACCACTCACCTACCAACCAACCAACCATTGACCTACAGGCAGTACCACCACCTACTGGGGACCACCTCGAGCAACAATCAAGCTAGCCACCCCTCAGGTACCTACCTACCTTTATCAACGATACCACTCACATCCCATTCGCAAATCGGTACCCGGCTTTTCACCCGGACACCACCTTTTGGTAAGTACCCTGTACCTTTGCTTCCCCCCCCCCAGCCCGGCAGCCAAAAGCCAGACAGAAAAAAATACTGAGGCGCACTTTCCTGCTCCTGCCCGTCCCTCACAATTGCCTACCGACTTTTCTCCTCCCATTTTCACCTCCCACTCTTCTTTTCGTCCTTCACCTCTTCACCTCACTCTCCACGTCTACTCCACGACCTCACTTCTTCCCGACCCCCCAACTCTTCACCTCTTCATCTCACCCAACTCTCCCAGAAAACCTCACTTCCGCCGCATCTCTCTCTTCACCTCTCCCGCTCCAACCCCTCTACCTCTCCTCCACCCAAACTCTTTTCTCTCCCATCTACTCCTCTACCCCTCCATCTACCAACTTGGGCGGTCCACCACCCACTTCAATCCACCACAACCTCCCGCGCACCTAGCCTGCACAATCCGCACGCACACATCACATCGCGACTCCAGCCAGCCAACATTTTGGAGATTCCAGCAATCCGTTCTCGGTTCAACTTGCTGACGTCCTACTCAATCGCGCTTAACAGCCGGTTTTCGCATCTGCCATCACTCTTGACTACCTCCCTCAGTAGTCATCACTTCAGCAAGACCCCGCGCCCTACTGCTTTGAAAAGTCAGGAAATACCAAGGTAATTACTAGCACCACACAAACCCACCTCGTGGCATGCGCGCACCGCACCACAACCGCACTGCACTGCACACTCATCTACACACCCTCCCAGCGCGCACCAAGCCTGCCCTGTATTGGTGGGTTCAGAATGTTCTACGCGATGCAGCTGGAGGATGTTTCTACATCATCCTTATCTAAAGCCCGGTGTCGAGACACTTCTGTCAACCCGTCTTTGGGCTGGGACCGTGGTCGCATACACACACAACTTCCACAAATCGCGATCCTACACTTGCACATTCCCTCATCCATTGCTTCCAAAAAGAAGAGAAAAATCTGGATAAAAAAAACTACACAATCATCACGTGCATTTGTTATACGTCGCAGCTTACTAACTGTGGCAATCAGGTTCACCAGTTCCAATCTACTACCTGGCACCCTACCCGTCTCGAACCCGAACCAGTCACCATGTCTGCTCAGGAGAACCTCCCTTCCAACGGCAACGATATTGTTGGATCCCTCGATCAGCTAAAGATGGATGACGAGGTCAGGCTCGGCCCCGATGGCGAGCCCGCGCCCCGCACCGACGAGGAGTATGCTCAGGCACAGCTCACTCTGAGAGCCATCGTCTCCTCCAAGGAGGCTGGCGTCATCATTGGCAAGGCGGGCAAGAACGTCGCCGACCTTCGCGACGAGACTGGCGTCAAGGCCGGCGTCAGCAAGGTCGTCCAGGGCGTCCATGACCGCGTCCTTACCATCACTGGCGGCTGCCAGGCCATCTCTGAGGCCTACGCCATTGTCGCCCGCGCCCTTCTCGAGGGAGCGCCCGCCATGGGCATGGGCGGTGTTGTCCAGAACAACGGCACTCACCGTACGTTCCCCTCTTGAACTCTTGCTGACAGATATAGCTGACAGTTGTTTTTAGCCATCAAGCTCCTTATCTCCCACAACCAGATGGGGACCATCATCGGCCGCCAGGGACTGAAGATCAAGCACATCCAGGACGTCTCGGGTGTCCGCATGGTCGCCCAGAAGGAGATGCTCCCTCAGTCGACCGAGCGCATTGTCGAGGTTCAGGGTACTCCCGAGGGCATCAAGGGGGCCGTCTGGGAAATCTGCAAGTGCCTCGTCGATGACTGGCAAAGGGGCACTGGAACCGTCCTGTACAACCCGGTTGTCCGCACTCAGCCTGGCACCACCACGACCGTTGGAGGTGGCTCGACCGCGACATACTCTTCCGGAGGTGGTCGCTCCAGCGAGTACTCTTCTCCGCGTGTCATGCGCACTGGCAACGGTGCCGATTTCAGCACCAGCAACACCAGCAACAACAACGGTGGTGGCCGTCCCTATGGACGTCGCTCTGACTCGGACGCTGCTTCCCGTGGCCCTCCGACCCACGATGAGAACGGCGAGGAGCTTCAGACTCAGAACATCAGCATTCCCGCCGACATGGTGGGCTGCATCATCGGCCGTGCCGGCAGCAAGATCTCGGAGATTCGCAAGACCTCTGGCGCGCGCATTTCCATTGCCAAGGTAAGAAGCTTCGACGCCATGCACACACGTCCCAGATGACTAACGTTACCAGGCCCCTCACGACGACACTGGTGAGCGCATGTTCACAATCATGGGAACGGCCAAGGCCAACGAGTCCGCCCTGTTCCTCTTGTACGAGAACCTCGAGGCAGAGAAGATGCGCCGTCAGACTGCTACTTCGCCCGAGTAGAAAGTGTTCCACTTTTCGTCCCTTCCGTGGTTCGACATCTAACTTCAGACGCTGGACATTGCAGACTTTTGGCCGCAAGGCTCGATATCTGAGATGAGGGTGTGTTGGTTCTACACACTTCATTTCTGGGACGGACGCAACAAAACACTTTTTTTTTCTTGCTTTTCCAAAATTCCTGGGTCGACGGGTTACCCAGACGTGCGCGCAACAACATCAGTCACCAAGCTGGTCCTCAACTTTCGCTTTTTATCGTTGCGCACACAAGTTGCTTTTTGGGAGGGTGGTCCTCCGGTCTACGTTTGGGCAGGCAAAAGATACCCCCGGGTCCACGGACAGGGATTCTTGTATTCAGCCTTCCGGAACTGAACATACGGCACGACTTATGATTACTTCACGCGGATACCTCTTTGAAGCAGAGTTGCAGCTTCGGAGCACTATTAATGACATCGGCCTACAACTCATCCCACATCCTACTCGAAAGTTACCCCACCCCCTACACTCCGACTGATCCGAAAACACCTTCAGTGGCCTATAAAATCTGCTGGTCTTGGGTTATGGAACTCTTACTTCTGGTATTGGCTTCCCGACACCAGGGGAATTCAGATAGTACGCCCAACCCATAGCTAGGCAGACAAAACTCTTTGAGCAAGGCCGCTCAGTAAATCGACGTCCCGACGTCCTTAATGTGATGTGCTGACTCCCTGTAAAACGTGCTGACGTAGGGAATCGGATAGTGGACGGCGTGGTGCGTTTCGCCCGCGATCGGTACGCTCTATCAAGTGCTTAGGTCAACACGAGATAAAAACGGGTGGCCCATGTTTGATATGACGTGCAGCAAGAACCACAGAGACCGCGGTTTGCCAGTCAGATCAGGATGGAGACATGCGATTGATCTAGCAGAAGAGCCATGGTAATTCTTGCACCTCATCCAGGATCAAGATGCGCTCCTTTCGTGATTGGCCAATGCCGGGCGGGGTTCTGGGTACCTGTGTGTGATGCCGATCCGGAGAGGGGACACCGGGCTGGGCTTGTTCCTGATAAGGTTAGGGCGGCCACAAACAAGCAGTGGAGGGGGACCCTGAAGAGGCTTGGGGGTAGGTAAGCTCTCCACCTTATTTTTAATTTTGGCATGAAGCCAACCTGTCATCTGGCCCGGCCTGTCACTGAGGTTGACCATCTATCTGCAATCGCTTTTTTTTTTTTGGAAGTCTTTGTATGTCCGTCTTTTTTTCTAGGAACGCCTCTAATCTCGAACCTCGAGACTCCTTGTGCTTCTTCCTCTGTTTCCTCTTCCAACCATTCTTTTTCCTTTTCGATTCTGGACCGCTCGTAGTCACGCATCGAGTGATTGTCGCTCCTTTTCCAATCACCGCGTTCCACGCCCAACGACTGAGTTGTGCACCGCGACTCTTTCTTTCTGCTTGCCCTCCCGAAGCAACTTCGCCCGACCGACGACGCGAAACGAAACGGAAGAATACACGCAGCGCCGACCACGAAGCACAATGGCACGCTCGAAGCAGGCCACCCCCATCCGTCGGCAGACGTCGTCCGAGTACTTCAGCAGGGCCGACACCCTCGCGCGGACGCCCAGCCACGGTAACGGAGCCGCGACGCTGACGTCAACAAAGCCCAACGGCAAGGTCGACGCGCCCGCTGCGCCCGTCGAGGCGAAGGAGGCCGGCGCATTGCAGATCCTGATCGCCGTGGGCGGCATCTACGCCTCATTGTACGTCGTCGCCCTGCTACCCCTTTTCCCCATGTAGCCATATTCTTTGAAGACGTCCCGACTGACATTGATTCGCACGCAGCTTGACGTGGGCCTACCTCCAAGAGAAGCTCACGACGACCCCCTACGGCCCGGCCTCTAAGCCCGAGGTCTTCAAGTACCCCGTCTTCCTCAACACGATCCAATCCCTCTTCGCCGCGACGACGGGCTTCCTCTACCTCTGGTCCTCCTCGCGTGGCGCCGCTTCCCTGCCGCCCGTCTTCCCGTCGCGCGGCATCGTCCTGCCCCTCGCGCTCGTCGCCGTCACGTCCTCCCTCGCCTCGCCCTTCGGCTACGCCTCTCTGGCGCACATCGACTACATCACGTTCCTCCTCGCCAAGTCCTGCAAGCTCGTCCCTGTCATGCTCCTACACACCACCCTCTTCGGCAAGCGCTACCCGCTGTACAAGTACCTCGTCGTCGCGGGCGTCACGGCCGGTGTCGCCGTCTTCACGCTGCACTCGGGCAGCAAGAAGAAGAAGTCGGTCGTTAACCCGGACGCCAACATGCCCTGGGGCATGCTGCTGCTGTCCATCAACCTGCTCTTCGACGGCCTCACCAACACCACCCAGGACTACATCTTCAGCACTTTCAAGGGGTACACTGGCCCCCAGATGATGTGCGCCAACAACCTCATGAGCACCGCCGTCACGCTGGGCTACCTGGTCCTAAGCCCCTGGCTGGTGCACACGGGGCTGGGCGAGTACCTCGGCATGGACGTCGCCGGTAACGCGGGCGAGCTTAAGGCCGCGCTGAGCTTCATGGCCCGGTACCCCGCCGTGTGGTGGGATGTGCTCGGCTTCGCGGCGTGTGGCGCCGTCGGCCAGGTCTTTATCTGTACGTCTCTTGCCTTTCCCCCTTCCACAATTGCTCTCGTTTGTCTGCATGTTGCCGTGAGACTTGGCTCGCTAACGTGCTCCCAGTCTACACCCTCTCGACCTTCTCGTCGGTCCTCCTCGTCACCGTTACCGTCACCCGCAAGATGGTCACCATGGCCCTCTCCGTCTTCGCCTTTGGCCACAGCCTCACCAGGATGCAGTGGCTCGGCGTCTCCCTGGTCTTTGGCGCCATCGGCGCCGAGGCCCAGATCGCGACAAAGGAGAAGAAGGCCAAGGAGGCCGCGAAGCGCGCCGCTGCCGCCGGCAAGGCGCAGTGAAAAGGGAGAGGGAACGTCCCGGTCCGGCGCGTCCGTCTCTGCCGCCTGTCACTCATCTAGGCCTTGCAGTGCTTCGTGCGGGCTCTTATCCAGTCTGTGAAAATGCCGCCCTCTTGAGAGCCGTCGCCCGGCGTCCCACGTCGTGGTGTCCGCTCGCGGAGAACATCTCGGGTCTTTTGAAAGAGACAGCAAGAACGCAACAGAGCACAGCTAGAGAGGAGTGTTTTCTTTCCATGGCAGATTGGGGGGGCGTCGTTTATTTTGTCGTCTTTCATTGCATCAAGTACAACTTTTTGAGATATCCCAAAAAAAACAAGCCTGGGCCGTTGGGCACCTGCTTTTTCTCAAGGAACGCCCGCTGCGTACAGTTCCTCGTCTTCTCCTTTCTAGTTTGGCGATACATAGAAAGCCGCGTCTACTTGTACATACACGTCTATATACATACACACATACGTACATACATACACGCACGCGCGCGCGCGCACGCGGACGAGTCCACAAGGAACCCCTCCACCCAGCGTCAGTGGGCACATCGTCGTTGTGCAGAGTATCAGAGGCCAGCTAGACCCCGACCCCGAGGTCCCCCGTGACGTGCACCGTCTGTCCAGCGACAACGCTCAACCGCCCAGGGCCCCGAGCCATCGTCACCACGGAGGGGGTTCCGCTCCCACAGCTCACGTCCCCGTGGTCTTCCTTTGCCTTGGTGACCGACCCGGAGACGCCCGCGGTATCTTTTGGAACCCCCCGGTAGGATTGGGCCGCCGGTCTTCTCACCGGACCGAGTGGGCTTGGGGGTTCAGCCTGTAGAAACATGCCCTCGACTCGGCGGCTGCCGGGACCCCGTGTGTGGATCAGACGTCCCGTCCACGTCGACGAGCCGTTTGGCTGACGGCATCCCACATCCTTCACCCCCCCCCCCCCAACATACCCCGCAAGTCTCATACTCTCACGATCATGACACAGTCCGCAGGGGGAAACAAGAAACAACAGGTTTGACACACAAAGTGTGGCTTCTCTCTTTTTTTCTTCTCAAATCATCTACCTCTCTTTCCCTCCAGCCATGCAGTCATGGTATCCTCGTCTCGTCCTCGCCCCCCACCTTGCCTTGGACTCCATATGCGTTTGCGGAAAGTCATCCGTAGATAGACCCGCGGAAAAAATAGTAAACCTAAACTCGACAACAATGGAAGGGAAAGAAAAAAAGCATGCCGGTGTCCTTTTTTGGAAGTGGAAAAATATGTCGTCCACAACCGTCGTCTCTCCAAGCAAGCCAGTCCCCGTAGGGAAAAAGCCTTGTGAGGGAAAACCTGTGTGTACCAAAGAAACAAAAACAAAATACCCTCGGGTCCCTAAACTCCCTCGTCCAAAACGTTGGCACACCTGATAATGACTGCACGATAGATAGATGGCCGAACCCCCGTTTCCTTGCCTATCCATGTCCAAATAGGGAGAAGTTGCTTCCCGCCTTTCCGTTCCAATATTCGCGCCCGGAGGATGCGATTCTAGATTACACATTTCGGTTTATGGTAGTAAAGTACGTTTGTTTGCAAAGTGCTCGCGTGACGATACCAATCGCCAGCTCGCCACTCGCTGCGCTCTGAAAAGAAGGCTTGAAAATGACAAAAGAAATGCCGGCTTAATGATCGCTAAGCTTTTGGAGCTTGTCGTGCTTGATGGGGTTGGCCCGGGAAAAGTGCACGTCTCGTTTGGATTGTCGGCGGTGGTCGCGAGGGTGTTTTCCATGATGCTGTTATGTCTACCAATGGTTCCCCTTTTTTTTCCCGGCCCGAATGATGCAACGCCTCCAAATGCTATACAAACATTCAACGGGAATGGATTAATCCTCTGGCTCAGCTGGCGGGCGCGCGTGTTTTGAATCGCCGTCTCATGCTCCGATCGCCCGCAAACCTCGTACAGAGAGAGCCCCGGGAGGGTTCGGTCGTCAGTGTTATTGCGTTGTCGCAAAGCACTCGTATCGACTAGTGTGTGTCGCGGAAAATAGTCGCAGTAGCCCAAATTCGGCCGAGTGTCGCCGAAATAGTCCAATCTCAGGAGGCTTAGTACTAGCCGCTTAGTGGCGGTGTATACCGTCCTGGCCGCGGTCATAGCAGCTCGTCAATAGACCTCACAATTGGCGTTTCACCTTTGGTAGGCGGACTTCGCGGGTCGGCAACCTGGGTGGGGCGTCCGAAGGGGTAGAAAGGATCCCTGGGGAACATTGTTTGTCGAGGCGAGAACAGACCTTCGCTTGGGGTTGGCGGAACTTCGACAAATCGCATGCCTGGGAACTCGCTGCAAGAGTCGTGCAGTGGGTTTTTCGTCATCGTCTCTGCTCTAGGTGACATGAGGGCCGCATCGTCAGGGATCGCGCCAACCATTGTGACAGGACGTTCCTTTTGGGTGGTGCTTTTCGCTTCGTAGTCTATTGACGGGCCGAGATTCAAACTGGAGAAACCAAGGCCGGCTGATGGGCCGAATCGATGTGCTCCAAAGCCAGGCGACGGCGGCGGTTTGGCGAAGAAGGACGACGATGGTGCCAGGCCCGAAACAGGCGGGGCAGGCTTGGTTGGGAGCAAGCGATCGACGTCAAAGGTCCCAAACTTTGCCGAGTTCTCGCTTTCTGACCAGGAAAAGCTCGACGGTGCGGATGACGGTCCAGGCGAGATTGGCTGACTGCCAGGCGTTGAATGTCCTCTTATGCGGGTAGGGCTACCCTTGTTTGGGCTTGCGTTCCCAGAGCTGCCCTCCTTCTCGCCTGGGAGAGGAGCCGTCAAGGGCTCCTTGGGCGCAATGTCCATGGCGGCATCGGCGGAAAGCGTCAGACGGTGCTTTGTGGGGCTGCGTCCCGCTCGAGGGCGGAAGGCTGATCCTGGCGAGGCCTTCTTCTTGGAGACCTGCTTCTGGAAGTCCTGCAGGCAGTACATGAGCTTCATGTTGGGGCTGATCCACTTGCTCTTCCCCTGGGCTGCGTAGTAGGCGTCGTTGACGCTGAGGTCAGGGTTCCGGTAGAGACCGTACGCAATAATGAGACTGGCAGATCGACTCGCGCCCTGTTGGCAGTGGACGAGGACCCTCTTTCCCTCCTTCGTCCTCGCGTCGATTGTTTCGCAGAGATGCATCAGGTCCTGCGCGATGTCTGTGTTGTGGTCCCAGGGCATGTGAATGTACTCTGGGCGCTTAATGGAGAACGACATGGCCTTGGGCGTCGTAGGTGTTTCGACTCTGTCGCTGGTAGGGAACTCAAAAGCCGTGGAGAAACTTGCGGTGGATACGGCGGTGTCGGGGATGGGGCTGAGGACGACGGGAGAGTCCGACATACGCTCATCCTGCGTTGGCAGGAACGCGAACGGGTTATTGACCTCCCGCGCGACGTTGATGACGGTGTCGAATTTGGACGCCTCCTCTGCCGTCGGCTCCAAGTAAAGGTAGACGTTGTCTTCGTAGATTGCAATGGGGCCGTCTGGGTAACCAGGTGTCTTCTGGTCCTCGTTGTTTTCGTTCTCGTGGTAGGGCTCAAAGTCGAGGGCAGCGCGGCTCGCGAGCTGCGTCTTGATCGGCGATTCCTCCTCAACAATTGTCGTGTCGAACGAAGAGCCGACGCCAGTCTTTGTCGGCCTCAGGAACTCTGATAGGCCCGACTCGTTCCTCTCCAAAACCTTGGGGAAACCCATTCCACCGGGGGGACCAAATGTCGCAGACTTGAGCGAAGGCAGCATGTGGGGGGACGAGGTCGAATGCTTGAGAGCGCGCCTCTGCAGAATGGGTGCCATGCCGGGCGTGCCGGGAACCTCCAGGGTGTTCCGCATGACGAGATCTGATGTCTTGGTGTTGAGGCTCAGCTGGCTGGGCTTGCGCTTCATTGCTGGGATGGTAGGCTTGATAAATGAGGGCGACGCCGGCTCGGAGACGAGCGTCGTGGCTGTGTTGCTCACAAAGGGCGGCTGGATTGACAGGCCCTTCATGTTCTTGGGACGGCGCGGCGAGGGAGAGGTCATGGGTCGGCCGAAGCTCGTGGTTTCTGCCGCAGTAAGAGTGTTCATCGAAGACATGGGCGAAAGACCGCCAAAGGACGTGGCCGGGAAAGAGTTGAGGGGTATCAGATTGACGGGAGAGTCCGGGGAAGACGAGGGGGACGGATCCGACAGCGGGGAGCAGTCGCTTGTCGAGAGCGTCGTCGTGGGCGAGGACTCTGCAGACTCGGAGGCCTGTGTGGAGGTGCTGTCGTGGTGCTTGTGGGTGGGATCTGACGGCATCGTGGGCCGCAGGTGCTGGATCGGGTTGCCCAAGGGCTTTCCGGTAGCCTCCATCTCCATCAACTTGGGGTCGACGAGAGTGACAGTTTCCTGGGCGGCGATGGTCTCTGCGTCTAGGTCGAAGACTGACATGAAGGAGGGGATTTGATCCTCGTAGATCCGCCTCGCCGCTGCTGACGGCATGGTTCTGTGCACCTTTGGAATGGGCTGCCCGGATCCCTTTTCTCTTCCTCTTCTCTTGCGCGAGGGAAACGTGTTGGCGGCAGTCTCGGGCGGCGAGACTGTGAAGGCCGAGGGGGGCAGCGTGGGCGAAATGGTTAAGGAAATGATTGCGGTGGGTGGTGGTTGAAGGAGCGGGAGTCGCGGTTGGTGCCGAATGAAGGAAAGGTGCGCGGGCGATTGGGTTAGATCGCAGGACAGCGCTGCTGAATCCCGTCGATGCTTTTGCTCCTCGTCGTCGGCGGGTTTTGGTGATCCAAGTCTCGGCAGGACCGAGATCTCCTCTCTCCTTCTCTATTTCGTACTACTCCTCGTACTCGGTGCAATGCCCGCAGTATGCGCTGGTCTGGCGAGCAGTCTCGCGACAAGAATAGCTCAGACAGGTGAGATGGCGGGGACACTGTTCGTATTGGGCGGGTCTCTCTGGCGTGGGTGGCGAGAGTTGAAGACGTCGTGAAGGTCGAGAAGAGAGCAGAGTGTGTGAAATGGAAGAACAGTTGTGAAGAGTAAGTGGTTGGTGGTGGTGGTGGTGGTGGTGGAAGAGAATGGAGAAGAGAGAAAACAATGGCTGGTAGTCACGACGAAAACGGCGGCTTGGGGTTAGCACATGCTGTAGGCGGGAAACAGAGATGTGGCACCGTCGAGTCAATATGGATACATGGATGAGAATGAGACGGCGGGTAAAGTAAGAGGGAGAGTGGAAAGGTGAATGAAGTAAAGGATGCTTGCCGGTTGGGAAGGGCGCCGGACCAGAATTGAGTATTGGTAGGTAGGTGTAGAGAACAAGAGAGGGGTGGAATTGGGAATTGGGGGGGAGGAAGAAGTGGGAAAAAGAGGTGGTGGTGGTGGTGGAAGAATGTGCGGTGGTTGAAAGTTGAGTTGAGTTTGAATGGACTGAGGTGAGAAGGGTTCGAGAGAAGGGCCCGACAGGACCTGGAAGGGGAAAGACGGAGACGACGGGGGCAGGCTCGCAGCAGCAGTAACAGCAGCAACAGCGACAGCGACACAGCAGCGGCGGCAGCGGCAGCGGCAGGAGTGAAAGGATTGGATGGGTTGGTTTGGGATCTTGGGGGGTGGAAGGAGGAGGGGGGGAGGACGCTGCGCGGTGCAGAGATGCTGGTTGCTTGGTGCTGGAGCTGGTTCTGGTGCTGCACGCAAGCGACTGGAGAATGGGAGAATGGGCCTTGGTCGAAAATGGACGCGGGCGGGCTGGGTTTGGCCTGCGCCTGGAGAGTGATGCTGGTCGATGGATGCTGGTCCAAGGCAAGGACCACGGGTGGTGGGTGGGTTCCCAGGGTTGGCTGCTGGCTGAGGGCGTGAGGCACTGGGGCGACCGGGGCAGGGGTCCTTTCCCGGGCTGCTAGTGGCTACCGTAGAAACTTGGGACAGCCCAAAGTACCTTAGCACGGCTCGAGGCAAGGTACGGGAGGTACGTACCCTCTCTTCCCCTCTGTCTCCCGCCCGTCGTCCTCTCTGTCTGAGATACCACAGCACGGGGTACGTACCCTTTTTGTGCCTCCCATTGCTCCCGGGTACGGGTTACGCCACGAATAGTATCACTACTGCTACAGCTAACTACGGCTACGACATTGCTCATTGACCTCGAGGCTAACTAGTCCATACGCACGACGTTTGCTCGAGTGGCAGAAGCAGCAGCAGCAGCAACGACAACAGTCATGACAGCTACCTAGCTGGCTGGTGGGGACCCAGGGAATATACACTAGAGGAACGAACACTGGAGAGAGAGGGAGAGGCTCGATGCAAGTGACAGAGTTCCCTGTCTGCCCACTGCCCACCCAGCGTTCCCAACCATAGCGCGTAAATAAATAAAAACGTGAGAGACCTCGTCTGCTAGGGTCGGATCGGGTGTTGCTAGTGCGGTCTCGTCTACAGCTTCGTCTGCACAGCACTACCGTCTGTCTCCCATCCATCGTACTTCGGCCTTGGGGGGAAGGGGCAAAAGTCAAAGTGCATCACCACACTAAGCCGCCGCCATTGAAGAGGACTTGGACTGGTGCCCGTCCTTGGGTTCATTTGTTGTTGTTTTAGAGCCGCGACATGGCGGCACCCGAGAGGGGAGATTGACTGCCTGCTCTGCCGAGTTGTTAGTCGGTCAGTCAGGTAATGAATGACCATCTACCTAGTATGCTCGCGTACGGGCCCGGCCATATTGAACAATCGCTGGTGAGTGAGGCCTGACGCCTGCAACATGCAGAGGGAACAAGCCGCGCAGAAGCGACAGAACGGCCTGGACTGGCATCGATGCCGTGCTGATGCCATTGACGGTTGGGAAGAGGGGAGAGAGGCTGGCGTGTCGTAGCCGCCGCTCCCCACCGTTGCCGCCAAGAGAGGCAAATGGACGAAGCTGACTGGACCGTCGCCTTCGCTCGCGCGGTCTCTCTCTCTCTCTTTTCCCTCTCACGTCTCCATCTTCAGCTCTACACTACATACGGTACATATTACCTACATAGTGCTTGTGAGGGTTGGTGAAGGGCCACCAGTCCAAGTGGAGCCAAAGCCTTATTGTGGAGAGTAGAGACACGAAAGAGTGGGGTCCCTTTTTTTTTTCCTTCCCCTTGCCAAGTTAGTGCAAGTGATCCCTGAGGGAAAGGGAGTGTGTGGGCTTGCATCGTGACTGGAGCGTGTTTTGCGAAACATGACCGGGGGCTATTAATAGCAAAAGTCCGCGGTTCCACTCCGCTACCCCCCCGTCCCAGGTTGTCGTCGTGTGTGGTGGTGCATGCGCCTTGCGTCGCCCGTCGGCGCCAATTCTAAGCCAATGGGAGCTCGACGAGCGCTGATTTGGCTTGACCGCGTGCAGGATAGGTTCATTTTATTTCAATCGTCTTGTTTGGACCATGGTGTTCATCATGTCAGTCTCGCCTTTGCTTCCTTGGAGAGAGAGAGAGAGAGAGAGAGACCTACCGTCTTAAGTCTTTCTGACCTGTCTGTTGTTGCAGCCGCTTCCAACTCGCAGTCGCGGAATCACACTCCCGGTTGATCGTCGACTTCTTACAGATAGGGGGGGGGTTTGGTTGAGAAGAGACTACTGCAGCAGACATAACCCATCATTTCCACTCTCCGTTTCCCTTCTCGCCACTGCACCGCGCTGCCGCATTGCTCAGGACGGAATGGATCTACTATGTATCTGCTGCCAGGGGCCGCCGCCGTTTTCTCTACATTACTTCTCTGCCGTCGCAGGACCAGGAATGATGCGCCATTACGGTTGCGGGTTTGCCCCTCGAGTGTGAACACCAGCACCTTATTTCCGGCCCTGTTTGCCCCTCGAAGAACGCCATGTTTGGACTTGCTTACCCGAGCGAGAGACCACCACGGACTTGTGCAGTGTGCAGTGCGTGCAGTGCAGTCACAGAAACGACCAACAGCAGCTCACACAGAGCAGAGTCACAGCCACCACACACACACACACACATACACGTATGCGCGACACTCAGACACCGAATCGGTTCCGTGGTACGGACGGGACATGGAAAAGCCAAACTAAGAAGAATATGACAGGCCTGTCAAGCGTAACAACACCACGTTTCTTGTTACCCGAGTGTCAGCTTACAAGTCTGCAACTCATCATCGGCCTGAACTTTGTTTTTCTTTCCCTTTTGCTTCCTTTTCGAGCCGGGCAGCCTCGGCCGATTCTCTCCAACAAACAGGAAAAGTGATCGTCCTTGCCTCGGCCGCCTCGTTTCGGTTGTTGGATCTCTCGCTCTTAGCCCCAGTGTTTCCGAATGTCCCAGCCTGTCTGGCGCTGAGGTGCTTACCAGGCATGGAGGACCTCCTGGCGTCCTGTGCTCTTTTTTTTTTCTTTCTTCCTTCGTCTCCTTCTCTAGTTCCATCCTTGCAACGAAATACCGAGACTCTGGTGCTAGCTGCCCTCTTTTTTTCTTCCCCTGTTGCTGGACCCGGTCAAATCCCGACGTTCCAACCCACAACCGTTTCCTGCCGCGTAGAGAAGAAAAAAAAGAGAACATCCTACAGTAAGCGTGTCTTTGGGAAAGTCCGACCGACATTCCTATCTCTCGGCCGGGTTCGTGGGTTCGTGGGAGAGTCATGTCAGATGAATTTAAAAATGTCGATTGCAGATCATTTCATCATTCCAGCATTCCCACTCTCCACAGTTCAACGCTGCCAAACCAAAAGTCGATTGTGATCTCTTTCGACTTCCCCAATCTTTGAACCAAACAAAATCCCATGCCAACGTCGCTACCGACTCAGACACCAGCCTGCCAACAAGCCAGTTCTCCTACCGCACGCCGAGCCCCCCTTGGGCAAAATCTAGAACATGAATGTCTCCAAACCGAGCCCCTTCCTTCTCGAAGCCGAGTTGGCGATGGGCTCGCGTTGACTGGTCTTTGCGCGTGCTGTCTTGCCCTCTCGAGATGTGGCCGTCCACACAGCCAACGGACCAACCACTGGTTTCAGTTTGAACCACCCCCATGAAAGCCGCCGCCGTCGCCCCCCTTCTCCGCGGCTCAGCGTTAGCCGCCAAAGATATTGTTCCCGGACGCTGGACAACCTGTTCCAACATTCCAGCCAAGCAGTCTGAACACAGCCAACTTTGCGCCCCGGGCGGCAAAGCTGCGATCACTGTACGCTCACCATCCCCATCGCAAGTAGGGGTCCCCTTTTCGAGAAAACTCAACCCAGCTCATCGGTCATGCCGCCAGTGGTCCTCCCCCCCCCCCCCCCCCCCCCCCCCCCCCCCCCCCCCCCCCCCCCCCCCCATTTGCAGTGTCACAAGTCGCGATGGGATGGGGGATACTTCATCGGTTTTGATTTGTCGGAAACAGTGGTAGACAATGACTACATTGCCACCCTGACCGATCCGGTTACCAAGGTTTAGTGTGGAGGGAGTCAGGGATCCAATCTAGACTCTCCTCTCCATCTAGTGTAACACGGCATCTCCATCTGCCCCAAACAAAGGAGGCGACAATGACGAGCGGAGGTCCGTCTTGAGGCTCAGGTTGACGCTGGACCACCGAACCCACCGCGGCCGGCATGTCCACAATGTAGGCGCAGGCCTCATCTGTCGGCGGCCGACCGAGAACGGGGACTCCCCGTCTCGGAATCTCCAACGGTCGTCTCCATTCTGTCGATATGGGATCCGCGCTGTCAATCACTGGACGGGCAGCGCCATCTTCATGGAGATCAAGGTTCAACGAGAGATTCGCCGTGCCATTTTGGTGGGCAAGCTTCAGGTGACTCAGTTCGGGGGGCGAGTTTTCCATCGCGCACCGTCATCCGGACCGCGTGGCATGCAGGAAAGCAGAGACAGGATCGAGAAAGCCACACCTAAAGGCAGCATTCCATAGTTCCTGATCGACATGTGTGGTGTCTGAGCAGCTAGCTGGCCGGCTCGTTCTTGTTCGCTGCGTAAACCAGAAACGGGCATTTTCTTTGACAAGCAGAGACATCCCTCCGACTCTGCTCTCGGCAAAATCCCTGCACGCCCTCGTATGGGACTTTCCGAGGCATGGGGCAGCTTACATCGTGGGTTTCCCCTTCATGGATGATACCTTTACCTGACAGGCGGCGGCCATGATGGTCGATATTGACTCTCTACCAGATTTAGGAACACCCAATAGTTGCTGCTCGTATACGTGCTCTATTTTACTCTCACCGTTCGTCAATCTCCCCCGTCGAGGCATGGCATTACCCACCGATTCGTCCCATGTCTCTGCCTCGCTCCCCACACGCCGGGGGGGCACCATCGTCATCCTCTGCCTCGTCCCTCACCAAAAAAACGAAGACGACGTTGACGTTGACGTTGACGTTGGACGCATGGGATGGATGGTGGAGGCGAGGAGGAGAAAGGAGGGCGCTCGGATGTCTGATACAACTCTCGCCCTGGCAAGGCCCGGCAGAGCCTCCTTTGTTCGATCGTCGCATGAACCCAGATTTGTTTCTTTTGACGAGCATGCTGCTGCGGCGGCGCGCCCGGCAGGCGGCAACAAACTGAACAAAGACAGTGCCCCTCCCCTCCCCTTCCCTTTCACCCAAAACAGGCCCCTTCTCTCACTCTCTCTCAGACTCACACTTGCGCATAGCTCATCGCAATTTCGCGATCGGAGATCCAAAAACACTCCGTCAAACAATCTAGTGTGAAAACGCAAAAATGCGACAAATGAGATGACGAGACTAGTGTGATCCTCAAACCCTCTGTTTCTCCTCTGGCGCCCCCCCCCCCTCTCCTCTTGCCAGGCCTTGCCTGGTGTCTTGCCTGTGGCTTGCGAATCCCGCTGAAGGAACGCGGCAGGAGATCGTTGGAGGCAATTTCTCGTCGTCCGCACTGTCGCCGCCGCACCACGGGGAGGCCGTCGTACAGTGTAACAGTGTGAGAGGGACTATCTCGATCCAGGCGTGCCCCCCACCCATGCAGCTTTCCAATCCAGGTTGCTGCGCGGGAGATTAGGAGCGTCGGGGGCCTGCTTGTTCTTGGTCGAAATTCGAAGCTACACTTATTTTCCTCGACGTCTTGGCAAATCTGAAACAGCGGGACCCCCTGAGCGGTCGGGTGGGACCCACCCAATGAGTTCGAAAAAGAAAGCGTGGCAGCGACGAACCGACCTCCGGCGACTGCACCAAATTTGACCACTTACCAACAGGGAAAAATAGAGAGTGGCACCTCGGCATCGCAGGGCAGGCGCGCAGATGGACTGGGGGTCCGAAGGGAGGAAGGACTGAATGAGGTAGCAGGTCCCTCACCTCTGGCACCCACCCGTTCATGACTTGTCGCGAGCATCACTGGCAATATCCGTAACAGCAAGAGCAACTAAGTACCTGCCGCCGAATACCTGTACTAGGTAAGACGCAGGAGGGGCAGATAGACAGAGACAGAAGCCGCCATTTTCGAAATGTCGGTCTGTTCATCAGCCAACACGTCCATTCTGCTCTGCACGCACAGGGAACATCCCGCTTCGCCCTTCTCGACCACTTTCCCTCCATCACACGCCCACACGTCGTCCTCTCCCTCGTCATTCGTGCACGCGTCTATTTTGGGCGCCTATTTTCCGGTAAATTACCACACTGCAGGTCGGCCCTTTCCGGTCCACGGCCACTGACTCTTCCCCCTCTGCTCAGCGCCCCGTTATTGCTGCCCTCGAGCTCCTGCGGGACGACGACCCCCGGCCACTGATTCCAGAGTCTCGAATCGTCACCTGAAGAGGATATGGGGCTCCAATTCCCCTCCAATGTCGTTAAACTGAGCAACCCCCGGTAGCAGTCTGTGTCACCGTTCCTCCCAGAATCCGGGGCTGTTGCAACTGCCCGCCTTCCTCTTCAAGGGACGACGACGGCTAGATAGGTACAATCGCATAGGTACGCAGCACAGGGACACAAGTCAGTCGTCCCCATTCGGGATTCCCGTCTGATGAACCTCACCAAAATAGGGTTCGGGAGATGAGGACAGAACGGGAAAACTCTCCATGCACGTCCAAATGCACGCGAGCAGCAGAAACTCTCGCGAATCCTGCGCGTGTACTTGCGCACTCGCAGACGCTCTCACCACGACAAGCTCCTCTCCCCTGCCCGACCCGTGCGCAAAAAAGGACGATGCATATCATCCAATTCGCATCGCCGCTCCAGCCCACCTTCATTTCGCCCGCCATCGATTCGGTCAGTGTGGGTTTGACTCTGCCCGGTCCCGAAATAAACCCTCATCTCCTTCTTGATACCGGGCACGCGTCTATTTGCGCTGGCGTATGTGCTGGCCACGCATAACGGTAATATCAGCAAGGCAGTTGAGTTGACACAGCCAAGCCACCCGCTACAACTTGCAAGCTTTGAACGGCAGATCCACGTCTGTCAAGACGATACGCTGCAACCAGAGGATCCTGGACCATCAGGCGAACCTGTTCACGCGCGGCGAAGCAAGACCTCTATCCAGGCCCCTGGACGATGTGTCCGCCCGATCGTGATCCCTCATTCGAGGGATTCAAACCTGGCATCCCCACCTCGTCGGCCGTTTTCCCTGTTCTCTCGTATGCCCGCAGAAGATGCTTCAACTCTCCAACACCCGTGAACCCATGCCATGCCTGGGGGAATCTAGGAACCACGACACGATCCCAGTCCGTGTGCAATTTCACCAAAGGGCCTTGCTCGGCCGAGCCTCAAATCCGTTACCGTTTTGGGACGACGCCTGGTCGGGGACTGCTTATTGCTCTCCAATCTGCTGCCCGTCGCCCCAGCAATGCAAGACTACCGGAGCATTGACCAGCCCGCCCGCCTTCTGGATCGGCGAACGAGCCCGTTGCTGCCTCTCTCTCTCTCTCTCTCTCCCTCGTCATCCTGCCTCGAAGCTTCGCCTGGCCAGGCCATGAGGAGACAATGCTGGGGTCGTCATCCTCTCTCTTTCGTCTCTGTCTCGTCTCATCAAACGACGCTGCACACGCACGCATCTGGTCGCTCAGCCCTGGAAGGCGGACACTCTGTGCTTCATGCGCCACGGTTCCCTACCCGGATTGGGGAACACGCGCGGTCTAGGCCTTGTCAGGCAATCCCGGCTTGTCTGCTTTCTGTCTGCGGCTCGCAGCCAACTTTAACCCACTTGGTCCAATCTCTCAGTCTCGCTCGCTCTCCATGAAAACCTTCTAGCCTTGGGGCGGCTGGGAGTTGAGTTGGGCCTCGTCACTTGAAAGGTTTCGAACAGATGCCGCGTCAGAGGTTGACAGCCATAATCTCATCGTTCCACCACGGGCCAGATCATCAAATGACACTGAGGCCACCAACGGCTGCCGCTCTACAGCCCGCACAATCCGTCGGGGGTCACTCAAGATGGTATGCGATTTTTGGGTCTCTCTCGTCTCAGCTTTGGTAGGGCCTTCTGCCATCTCAAAAGCTAGACCTCTCTTCTCTTCGCCAGAACTTGAAGATGCGGATCAAACATGCGTGATGCCTGGCACGACTGTGGACACTTGACTCCCCCGGTAACCCCTTCAAGGCACCCTGGGGCACGGGCACGAAACTGGCGACATGCCGTTTCAGCATCCCTCGCCCACCTGGCCCACGACCACGTCGCCCTAGTGACTGTGCACGTGAGGTCGTACGGGAAGACGACGACGACGACGACGGGCAGTGCTCCGTTGTGTAAGTTGTGTCGGTAGTCCGACAACTGCGCGGGGTTAATTTTTATTTATTTTTTGCGTTTTGGACAGATTTGTCTCCAGGTTATCTGATACTCCAAGCGGGCGGGAGATATGCATTTGAGCTAGTTTTACTTCGGACGCTCCATCCTCTTCGTGGTCCCCCCACCCTCCTCACGGCCCGTTTTGAGACGTCGACGGCGTGTGTATCCGCCGCCGCCCGAGATTCGTGTCTTGACGCGCCCACCTCGAACCTTCCCACCACACCAAACCACTATCTTGGGAACACGCGCTACTGCACGGCAAAACCTTTGCTTGCACACTTTCGCGTTCACTTTAAGGTTGACGCCTGTAACCCGATCACGACAGTCAATGACAAGGAGCCATCCCCAGCGGGCGATAAACTATGGCCCCCAAATCGAAACCTGCCCCGTCGTCTTCTGCCCGCACGATGGTCTGGACTACTATAACCGGTGCCCGATGCGGTCGGCAAGTCAGGTTGTCCCGTCGAGCCTTGTCATTCAGCCTAATCTTGCCTCTGGCACGGCACAGGAGCGGGCTCCGGGCGTTGCTCGTGCAAGTTTGAGGAAGGGGCTTCGGCCTAAATCAGGGCTCCTTTTCTTCCGAGCCTGAATCCGGCTTCCCTCCTCAGAGTTGGTTCATCCAAGCCGGTGTTATGACTAGTTGCGTCGTCGACCATCGGTCCGCCTGTTGGCCATGGAGGCAAAGGCAGATGGACAAGTCCCGTATTGTGCCCGCGGCC